ACCCCTACATCACTACACCCCTCCATAACCATACCCCTACATCACTACACCCCTCCATAACAATACCCCTACATCACTACACCCCTCCACAACCATACCCCTACATCACTACACCTTCATAACCATACCCCTACATCACTACACCCCTCCATAACCACACCCCTCCATAACAATACCCCTACATCACTACACCCCTCCATAACCATACCCCTCCATCACTACACCCCTCCATAACCACACCCCTCCATAACTGTACCCCTCCATAACCACACCCCTCCATAACCACACGCTCCATAACTGTACCCCTCAATAACCACACCCTCCATAACCACACCCTCCATAACTGTACCCCTCCATAACCACACCCTCCATAACTGTACCCCTCCATAACCACACCCTCCATAACTGTACCCTCCATACCTGTACCCCTCCATAACTGTACCCCTCCATAACCACACCCCTCCATGACTGTACCCTTCCATAGCCAGGACCCTCCATAACTGTACCCCTCCATAACCACACCCTCCATAACCACACCCTCCATAACCACACCCCTCCATAACCACACCCCTTCATAACCAAACCCTCCATAACTGTACCCCTCCATAACTGTACCCCTCAATAACCACACCCCTCCATAACCACACCCCTCCATTACAACACCCCTCCATAACCAAACCCTCCATAACCATACCCCTCCATAACCATACCCCTCCATAACCACGACCCTCCATAACTGTACCCCTGAATAACAATACCCCTCCATAACCATAACCCTACATAACAACACCCCTCCATAACCACACCCCTCCCTTACCATAACCCTCAAAAAAATACCCCTCCGTAACCACACACTTACATAACCACACCCCTCCATAACCACATCCCTCCATAACCATACCCCTCCATAACAATACCCCTCCATAACCATAACCCTCCATAACCACACCCCTCCATAACCACACCCCTCAACAACCATACCACTCAATAACCATACCCCTCCATAACCACATCCCTCAATAATCACACCCCTCCATAACAATACCCCTGCATAACCACACCCCTCCATAACAATACCCCTCCATAACCATAATCCTCCATAACAATATCCCTCCATAACCATACTCCTCCATAACAATACCCCTATATAACCTTACCCCTCCATAACCATAAGCCTCCATAACCATACCCCTCCATAACAATAACCCTCCATAACAATAACCCTCCATAACCATAACCCTCCATAACAATAACCCTTCATAACCACATCCCTCAATAATCACTCCCTAACCATACCCCTCTATAACAATACCCCTCCAAAACCATACCCCTCCATAACGATATCCCTCCATAACAATACCCCTCCATCACCACACCCCTCCATAACCACACCCCTCGATAACAATACCCCTCCAAAACCATGCCCCTCCATAACCACACGTCTTCATAACCACACCCCTCCATAACCACACCCCTCGATAACCATACCCCTCCATAACCAAACCCCTCCATAACAATACCCCTCCATAACCACACCCCTCCATAACAACACCCCTCCATAACCACACCCCTCCATAACCACACCCCTCCTTAACCAAACCCTTCCATAACCATACCCCTCCATAACCACACCCCTCCATAACCACGCCCGTCCATAACCACACCCCTCCATAACAATACCCCTCCATAACCATACCCCTCCATAACCACACCCCTCCATAACAATACCCCTACATCACTACACCTCTCCATAACCATACCCCTCCATCACTACACCCCTCCATAACCACACCCCTCCATAACTGTACCCCTCCATAACCACACCCCTCCATAACCACACCCCTCCATAACCATACCCCTACATCACTACACCCCTCCACAACCATACCCCTACATCACTACACCCCTCCATAACCACACGCCTCCATAACCACACCCCTCCATAACCACACCCCTCCATAACCATACCCCTCCATCACTACACCCCTCCACAACCATACCCCTACATCACTACACCCCTCCACAACCATACCCCTACATCACTACACCTTCATAACCATACCCCTACATCACTACACCCCTCCATAACAATACCCTTACATCACTACACCCCTCCATAACCATACCCCTCCATCACTACACCCCTCCATAACAATACCCCTCCATCACTACACCCCTCCATAACAATACCCCTACATCACTACACCCCTCCATAACAATACCCCTACATCACTACACCCCTCCACAACCATACCCCTACATCACTACACCCCTCCATAACAATACCCCTACATCACTACACCTTCATAACCACACCCCTCGATAACAATACCCCTCCATCACCACACCCCTCCATAACCACACCCCTCGATAACAATACCCCTCCAAAACCATGCCCCTCCATAACCACACGTCTTCATAACCACACCCCTCCATAACCAAACCCCTCCATAACCATACCCCTCCATAACCACACCCCTCCATAACAATACCCCTACATCACTACACCCCTCCATAACCATACCCCTACATCACTACACCCATCCACAACCATACCCCTACATCACTACACCCCTCCATAACCATACCCCTACATCACTACACCCCTCCATAACAATACCCCTCAATCACCACACCCCTCCATAACCATACCCCTCCATCACTACACCCCTCCATAACAATACCCCTACATCACTACACCCCTCCATAATATACCCCTACATCACTACACCCCTCCATAACCATACCCCTACATCACTACACCCCTCCATAACAATACCCCTCCATCACCACACCCCTCCATAACCACACCCCTCGATAACAATACCCCTCCAAAACCATGCCCCTCCATAACCACACGTCTTCATAACCACACCCCTCCATAACCACACCCCTCCATAACCATACCCCTCCATAACCAAACCCCTCCATAACAATACCCCTCCATAACCACACCCCTCCATAACAACACCCCTCCATAACCACAACCCTCCATAACCACACCCCTCCATAACCAAACCCCTCCATTACCATACCCCTCCATAACCACACCCCTCCATAACCACATCCCTCCATAACCACACCCCTCCATAACAATACCCCTCCATAAACATAACCCTCTATAACCACACCCCTCCATAACCACACCCCTCAATAACCACACACCTCCAAAAGCATATCTCTCCAAAACAATACCCCACCATAACAATAACCCTCCATAACCATAACCCTCCATAACAATAACCCTCCATAACAATAACCCTCCATAAAAATAACCCTCCATAACCATAACCCTCCATGACCATACCCCTCCACCACAATACCCCTCCATAACCATAACCCTTCATAATCACATCCCTCCATAACCACACCCCTCCACAGCAATACCCCTCCATAACCATAACCCTTCATAATCACACCCCTCCATAACCACACCCCTCAATAACAGTACCCCTCCATTACCATATCCCTCCATAACCACACCCCTCAATAACCATACACCTCCAAAAGCATATCTCTCCAAAACAATAACCCTCCATAACCATAACCCTCCATTACCATAACCCTCCATGACAATAACCCTCCATAACCACACCCCTCCATAACAATATCCCTCCATATCCATTTCCCTCAATAACCATAACCCTCCATCACTACACCCCTACATCACTACACCCCTCCACAACCACACCCCTACATCACTACACCCCTCCATAACCATACCCCTCCATCACTACACCCCTCCATAACCACACCCCTCCATAACCACACCCCTCCAAAACCACACCCCTCCATAACTACACCCCTCCATAACAATAACCCCTCAATAACTACACCCCTCCAAAACCACACCCCTCCATAACCACACCCCTCCATCACTACACCCCTCAATAACTACACCCCTCCAAAACCACACCCCTCCATAACTACACCCCTCCAAAACTACACCCCTCCAAAACCACACCCCTCCATAACTACACCCCTCCAAAACTACACCCCTCCATAACCACACCCCTCCATCACTACACCCCTCCATAACTACACCCCTCCATAACAATACCCCTCCAAAATCTTACCCCTCAATCACCACACCCCTCAATAACAAAATCCCTCCATAACCATACCCCTCCATAACCACACCCCTCCATAACAATACCCCTCCAAAACCATACCCCTCCATCACCACACGTCTTCATAACCACACCCCTCCATCACCACACCCCTCCAAAACAACACCCCTCCATAACAATATCCCTCCATAACCACACCCCTCCATAACCACACCCCTCCATAACAATACCCCCCCCCCCCCATAACCACACCCCTCCATAACCATAACCCTCCATAACCACACCCCTCCATAACAATACCCCTCCAAAACCATACCCCTCCAAAACCACACCCCTCCATATCAATACCCCTCCATAACCATAACCCTCCATAACCATAACCCTCCATAACCATAACCATCCATAACCACACCCCTCCATAGCCACACCCCTCCATAACCACGCCCGGTGCAGATCACACCGCACTCCCTTGAAGACCTAGTGATAAATATTCCACCTTGTATCTGTTCTTGTCATAAGCAAGATGTATTGATGGACCCGTGCAACCCATGCTTGCTGTAAAAGGTGACTATGCTTGTCGCACGATCGGGTGGTCAGACTCGCAGACTTGGTTGATGCATTTTATCGTATCCCAATTGCGTGGATCGATGCTCATGATGTAAATCATTGGATTGTCTGGCCCAGACTTGTTTATTTACAGACCGCCGTCATATAGCTGGAATATTGCTGAGTGCGGCGTTAAACAACAAACAACCTGGTCGGACGGACAGTGGCTACAGCGCTGAGTGAAGATTTGGGTTGATTTACTAAATTAATACAGTCTGTGAAGCCCATTATCGTGTAACCTGCCGAGACGGCTTGACTTGTGCCGAAGGCGACGTCAAACACTCATTTCCCGTCACCGGCAAAGACACTTAAGTAACATTCATGTCAGTCTCGAAGTTTTATTCAACCATAGCAGAAATCTAAACACACACAATGCATCCGATTATATAATAAGCATATATATGTTACGTGGTTACTGTTCATTATAAACACAGGCAGTACAGTACAGTACACACAAGATAAATGGACACTGTCGTCTCGATTAGTCACAGCAGAGTTACATCCCTTAGATGCAGATTCCCGATGCTGATGAAGCAGCCACCCTGTGTGCATCACAGGGCGTAACGATGTCATCATGTGTCCCAGGTGATGTCCTAGTGTCAGCTACACATTATGGGGACAACCTGCCCCTCCAGACCCTAGAAATCGTCGCCCCCTCCCCCAAATGCTGCTGTCAATACTACGGGACAAATATCTTAGGAAACTCTATTTCATTATTTCCTTTCAACTTAATTATTTCAAACAATGAAGCTACAATTATTTATTCTAATTCATGATGAGAATAAAAAAGCAATTCCTCATTAACAGGTGAGTATGTGTTACTGTTTTAGATAAAAATGATAATTGAATCATTGCCTACAGCAGATTCCTGATAGCGGAAACTATTTAGCCCAAGACAGGGAGGATAGATAGATGCTACAAGGTGCTACATAGTATGTGCTGTATCTTCGCTTTAATTACAGTATAATACTATCGAGCGTTTTAACATACTGAAGCGCTGCTATGTACATAGCATTCCTCAGGGTAAGATGCAACATTATAATAGTTATCTATAAAGTATTGCCATTTGTACACATGTGTAAGATGCAACATTATAATAGTTATCTATAAAGTATTGCCATTTGTACACATGTGTAAGATGCAACATTATAATAGTTATCTATAAAGTATTGCCATTTGTACACATGTGTAAGATGCAACATTATAATAGTTATCTATAACGTATTGCCATTTGTACACATGTGTAAGATGCAACATTATAATAGTTATCTATAAAGTATTGCCATTTGTACACATGTGTAAGATGCAACGTTATAATAGTTATCTATAAAGTATTGCCATTTGTACACATGTGTAAGATGCAACGTTATAATAGTTATCTATAAAGTATTGCCATTTGTACACATGTGTAAGATGCAACATTATAATAGTTATCTATAACGTATTGCCATTTGTACACATGTGTATTGATACATCTGACATATGACCAACACTATAATGCTTTTATTTGGGCAGGACATCCTTCTGATATTCCATTTGCACTGTTTGTTCTGTTATCACAGAGTGGAGTTTGGAGTGAGTGAGTGAGTGAGTATGGTTTCACGCCGCTTTTAGCAATATTCCAGCAATATCACGGCGGGAGACACCAGAAATGGGCTTCACACATTGTACCCATTTCGGGAATCGAACCCGGATCAACGGCGTGTCGAGCCAACGCTTAAATTTAACCACTAGGCTACCCGACCGCCCCGTGTCGTTTGGATATAACGTATGGGATACAACAGCTTTTCTGACGGACATTTGCGAGGGGTTTTCAAGGTCATACGAAGGTTAACGCTTACTTCCTAAATAATTTTGTAGAACATATTAGTAGATCTAAATAAACAGAACAGATTTAATAGCCATAAAAAAAAAGAAAAAAGAAAATGCAAAAATTACATCCAGACTATTAAGAACATTTTGGAAGAAGAGTTCCTTTTATATTTTTATGTATGAATACGTATATGTAGACATCTAAACAGAATTATTTGTTATGATATGTATGCAAATAAAAACTCATTTCCATCTTATTTTAAAAATCAGGCTGTAAGTTATATTATATATATCGCTATGTACAATAACGACAACACCTATTAGCTTCTGCGAGTGTTACAGACACTGTCGATAAAAGCGATGTATTTTGTACAAAACTGATGTGACGAAGTTGTCCTCCCTACCCATGACCCCATCACATAACAATGACGTGACGTAGTTTGCGACCTCCGGATTCCGCACAGCTTTGGGACGTCCGGTAATAAAACTGCCACCTCACATCGTCACCTTCGTGTACTGGTAGCGACATCGCAAGTTCTCACAAGGAAGTATTAATTCCACCATTGCTTCATCCTTAAGCGTTTTCAGCCTTTTTGTCTAGCGCCTAGTTTTTTTAAACACTGAGTGATCCATATTGACGTCTTAAGCAGCACTCGGAGGGAAAACAGCCATTAGGGTCATAATTGAACTTAAGGAACAAAGAGTTCATATATTTGAGTGAGTGAGTGAGTGAGTGAGTATGGTTTTACGCCGCTTTTAGCAATATTCCAGCAATATCACGGTCGGGGACACCAGAACTGGCTTCACGAATTGTACCCATGTCGGGAATCGAACCAATGTCTTAAGTGTGACGAGCGAACGCTTTAACCACTAGGCTACCCGACCGCCCCTCATATATTTGACATAAATGAGTGACCTGTGTTGAACACGCCGAATTGATCAGGGTTTCAGGTATATGACGGCGTGTCAGTTTGATGCGGAGAAACTTAGAATGTGACATTGGATGTGACGTCAGTATGGTGCCAGAAGCCAAGCTTCAATGTAAGGGAGAATGCCATCTTCTACTTGACATAATGTCGCCATTTGAACCACTGGACACACATCTGCCCAGTTCACCAAGACAAGGTTCATGTTCAGCAAGTATCAGGTCAATATTCAGAATGAGGTGCCGACGTTACGCAAGACTAAGGCCCGTGAAACCCGTGAAACCCGTGAAACCAAATGATATGTTAGTGTTTGTTTTATAACTATCATATTCTTCGCAGTAACAGAAGCGATAAAGCTGGCCACACAATCAAGAGTTTGAATGACAGCATTGCACCAGCAGTCTCCCACTCAATGTGATGTAGATATAAAACGTCAAGGCCAGAGCATAACCAGTCTCGATTATCCGCCGAAACAGATTCCATTAGGTGTAACAGGCAAAATGGTGAAAATTTGTTGAATGGCTCTCTGACCATCGGTAAAACCTTGTCGCGCTAAGTCTATCTTCTTCAGTTGAAGCTGACACATTCCCCAACTCAATATGGGGGCGCGGGTGGCCCAATCGTCCAAGGCGCCGCAATTCGATGTGCAGAGTTGCGTCCCTTGGACACGTCAGGAACCTATGATTGTGGGTTCGAATCCCGGTTCGCCCCGATTATGTTTCTAGATTTGTCAGCACCATACCCGTGCTCATTGCTTTCACCGAAGTGGTAAACGTCTAAGACCTGCATCACTTCGGGCTTTCCTCCCACATTACGCTGACACGCCGTGATATAACTGGAATACTGTTAAAAGCGGCGATAACTAAACTCGCTCACTCCCTCACTCACTCCATATACTGTATGTGATGAAAGTAAACCTGGTCCCGACGTCTTGTTTTATCACTCGAAGCTAGAACAATCTTCAGGAGTGACTGAGTTGAGGGGACGCCATTCTGACGCAAAGAGGGGCGGTCGGGTAGCCTAGTGGTTAAAGCGTTCGCTCGTTACGCCGAAGACCCGGGTTCGATTCCCGACATAGGTACAATGTGTGAAGCCCATTTCTGGTATCCCCCGCCGTGATATTGCTGGAATATTGCTAAAAGCGGCGTAAAACCATACTCACTGATCACTGACGCAATGATGAAGGACACCGACAAGTACTGATCCCTGCAAACAAGAGGACATCGGCGGACGTTCTAACAAATACATTACTTTGTGATCACTGAAAGGTCACTTCATGCACGTGCATGTGGTTCCATTGTTCCTGATGATCATGTGGGGAGACGTTGTTCATGACTATCCCACATGATCAGATTCTTTGACACACGTCTCGGGGTCAAGGTCAAAGCAGAGGTTAGAAGGACAAACGAACACCAAAACGTCGTTGTCAATGCACCTAATAAACTTGTGGCAGGTGTACGGATGTTTGATGAACGTCCCGTTACTTGAACCGTGACACACATCAGCTGAAACAGAAAATGTTTATATTTTTTAAATCTACATGTTATTTAATGCATTGTATCTTCAGCCTCGTGGGGATCCTGGGGTAATATAGATGTCCAGTTGTCTAAGCGTGCCATAATGATCGACTGATGGGTTACCATGGTAACAATAACTGCAGCCTGTGGGAAATACGTTCAAGCAGTTTGACTGTTTTCTTGTGGCCGTTTACTTTTCACATAATAATAAAAACATTAAAAATGCCTCTTTAAACAAATGGGATGCACTTCAAGTACAAATGCTAGGGTATAATTTGGGAAACAGTATACGTTTGTTGCCCCAAAATTAGTAAATACTATTTTGTTGAAAACCATCTGATTTAATTCTCTCTGCATCTGCGTGCAAACACAAACAGTACCTGGCACGACCAGTATTTCCTCGTGTTGAGATTCCAGAGTAACATTGGCCGCTGTGTCCGCCGTGTCGGTGAACGAAGGGGTGGGAATAACATTGGCCCTGATAGTTGTCGCATTCCACGACAGTTTCGGTGTGACTAGGAACTGGCTCTCAATGATAGTTGAGCAGTTAGCTCGAGTCTGTGTTTGTTGGTAGTCTGTGTAGGCCAACTCAGACCAGGTGTCCTTATCCAGAAGTTCCCATTCTAGAATTCCATTGAATTCTGGATGTCCCGCATCCCACGTGGTCTTCAGGCGGGTCGGTTTGGCCTCCACTATCTCGTTTGGCACGTGCAGAACGGGACCTTGGGACGGAGCTATTAGAGAAAATTAGACCTGTTCAGATGACTATAACGCGGTATTTGAGCAGCGTATCATATGTTGGAGGAAGGACCAAGTGTTGTTGTTGTTTGTTGTTTAACGCCGCACTCAGCAATATTCCAGCTAAATGACGGCGGTCTGAAAATAATCGAGTCTGGGCCACCTTCCAGTGATTGACATCATGAGCATCGATTCACGCAACTGGGACACGATGACGTGCATCAACAAAGTCAGTGAGCTTGACCACCTGATCCCGTTAGTCACCTCTTACGACAAGCGCAGTCGCCTTTTACCGCAAGCATTGGTTGCTGAAGAACTATTCTACCCCGGATCTTCACAGGTCAAGTGATGGAAACTTCAGATAATTAGACATACAACCCCTCCACACACAGAGAGACACAAAACCCCTCCACACACAGAGAGACATACAACCCCTCCACACACACAGACAGATACACAACCCCTCCACACACACAGAGACATACACCCCCTCCACACACAGAGACATACAACCCCTCCACACACAGAGAGACATACAACCCCACCACATACAGAGAGACACACAACCCCTCCACACACAGAGAGACGTACAACCCCTCCACACACAGAGAGACATACACCCCCTCCACACAGAGAGACACACAACCCCTCCACACACAGAGAGACATACACCCCCTCCACACACACAGAGACATACAACCCCTCCACACGCAGAGAGACATACAACCCCTCCACACACAGAGAGACATACAACCCCTCCACACACAGAGACATACAATCCCTCCACACACAGAGAGACATACAACCCCTCCACACACACAGAGACACACAACCCCTCCACACAGAGAGACACCCAACCCCTCCACACACAGAGAGACATACAACCCCACCACACACAGAGAGACACACAACCCCTCCACACACAGAGAGACGTACAACCCCTCCACACACAGAGAGACATACAACCCCTCCACACGCAGAGAGACACACAACCCCTTCACACACAGAGAGACATACACCCCCTCTACACACAGAGAGACATACACCCCCTCCACACACAGAGAGACACACAACCCCTCCACACACAGAGAGACATACACCCCCTCCACTCACAGAGACACACAACCCCTCCACACACACAGAGACATACACCCCCTCCACACACAGAGACATACAACCCCTCCACACACAGAGAGACATATACCCCCTCCACACACAGAGACATACAACCCCTCCACACACAGAGAGACATACAACCCCACTACATACAGAGAGACACACAACCCCTCCACACACAGAGAGACGTACAACCCCTCCACACACAGAGAGACATAAACCCCCTCCACACAGAGAGACACACAACCCCTCCACACACAGAGAGACATACACCCCCTCCACACACACAGAGACATACAACCCCTCCACACACACAGAGACATACAACCCCTCCACACGCAGAGAGACATACAACCCCTCCACACACAGAGAGACATACAACCCCTCCACACACACAGACAGACACACAACCCCTCCACACACACAGAGACATACACCCCCTCAACACACAGAGACATACAACCCCTCCACACACAGAGAGACATACAACCCCACCACATACAGAGAGACACACAACCCCTCCACACACAGAGAGACGTACAACCCCTCCACACACAGAGAGACATACACCCCCTCCACACAGAGAGACACACAACCCCTCCACACACAGAGAGACATACACCCCCTCCACACACACAGAGACATACAACCCCTCCACACGCAGAGAGACATACAACCCCTCCACCCACAGAGAGACATACAACCCCTCCACACACAGAGACATACAATCCCTCCACACACAGAGAGACATACAACCCCTCCACACACACAGTGGCACACAACCCCTCCACACAGAGACACCCAACCCCTCCACACACAGAGAGACATACAACCCCACCACACACAGAGAGACACACAACCCCTCCACACACAGAGAGACGTACATCCCCTCCACACACAGAGAGACACATAACCCCTCCACACACAGACACACAACCCCTCCACACACAGAGAGACATACACCCCCTCCACACACAGAGAGACACACAACCCCTCCACACACAGAGAGACATACACCCCCTCCACTCACAGAGACACACAACCCCTCCACACACACAGAGACATACACCCCCTCCACACAAAGAGAGACGTACAACCCCTCCACACACAGAGAGACATACAACCCCTCCACACACAGAGACATACAACCCCTCCACACACAGAGAGACACACAACCCCTCCACACACAGAGAGACATACACCCCCTCCACACACAGAGAGACACACAACCCCTCCACACACAGAGAGACATACACCCCCTCCACTCACAGAGACACACAACCCCTCCACACACACAGAGAGACATACACCCCCTCCACACAAAGAGAGACGTACAACCCCTCCACACACAGAGAGACATACAACCCCTCCACACACAGAGACATACAACCCCTCCACACACAGAGAGACACACAACCCCTCCACACACAGAGAGACATACACCCCCTCCACACACAGAGAGACACACAACCCCTCCACACACAGACACACAACCCCTCCACACACAGACAGACACACAACCACTCCACACACAGAGAGACACACAACCCCTCCACACACAGAGAGACACACAACCCCTTCACACACAGAGAGACATACACCCCCTCCACACACAGAGAGACATACACCCCCTCCACACACACAGAGACACACAACCCCTCCACACACAGAGAGACATACAACCCCTCCACACACACAGAGAGACATACAACCCCTCCACACACAGAGAGACATACATCCCCTCCACACACAGAGAGACACATAACCCCTCCACACACAGACACACAACCCCTCCACACACAGAGAGACGTACAACCCCTCCACACACAGAGAGACACACCCACCTAAGACACTCACCCACACACTCAATTTTAACATTTGCCTCAGGTATTGTGAGTCATTCTCCTTCTGCTTCACACTATTTTGTGTTGCGCTATTTCTGTACATGCGTATTCAGTACTTACACGTGATTGCGACCCTGAACCTTGAGGTCATCACGGTACCCGGGGTCAAGGTAACCACACACTGGTAATAGCCATGATCGCTGCATACGGGGTGGGAAATCTTCACAATGAATTTGACGTCATTTCCGGACTTGATGACGTCATATTTTACTCTCCGGTCGGTTCTTGTTGCAGATGCTGGATCAGGTTTGGTAGAAAACTTTGCCACCTCCTGCGCATCCGTCGGCCCCGACTCCCCCAGCTTGACGATGGCGACACTCTGCCAGTCCGCCTCCCCCTTGATCAGACAATCCAGCTGCAGCTCCCGCTCCAACATCGTCGACAGGACGTTGGGGGCGGTGACGGTGATGGGAGCTGTGCGGACGGAGACACACTCGATTACCCAGTTACCCAGTGCACTATGTGAAGGTTAAAGCATGACTCCGATGTCATGGTTGGTGGAGTATTATTATGAATCAGAATTTCTGGTCGGATTGGCAAAGTCAAAACAAGATAATTTGGCCAAGATGTTTAACTGAAACTTCAGGTATATCGATGATCTGGTATCGATAATCGTTCAATTACCATCAAATAGCCTTCCACTGATTTACCCACCTGAACTAGAAATAAAGGAGAGCAGTGAGACCGTCTCATCTGTTTCATGTTTGGATCTCAGCATAAAAATTCACAGTGACAAACAACTCTCCACACGACTGAATAACAAGAGGTATGACTTCAACTTTTCATAGTCAACTTTCCCGTTCAACGATTGTTGCTCAAAAGCTGTTTGATCAGAAATACAACTTTTGAGGTCTCAGTAAAGCTTTCAAAACGTTTTATGGTAGACAAGTGGAGAACAATACCAAATATGACGCATCCGTGACAAGTGTGATGCCCGATGCAATTCCCTATTGTGACTTGGTAGCAAACCCGGGTACTCTCCCAATGTCAGTCAATAGATTGGGAGGTACCAAAACTAAGGCACCGAGAACAGTGGGGAGCCGGACAACTTGGTACTTGGGGCGCAAGCGTGACAATTCGAAAGCGAGGTCCGCATATTTGCCATGTTTTCACTGAATCTTGTCAATCTCATTGGAGTCAAAAGGGACAGAAAATTCAATAATTTAAATGATGTCATTGGGTTGTCCAAAAAGGACAAGATCAGATTTGTTGGCCAGGATACGTCTGAGGCTGTATACGGGCCTATTCCGATGAGTTTTGTATGTATCATTTTCCATGACGCTCTCTACATATTCCGGGTCGTACCATAGATGGATCTCTGTGTCAAAACCACAAGCATGGCGAAGACGGTAATAAAATGATCGAGCCACTCCATTATGTCGCTTAAGATATTCTGTTTGTGCCAAAGCTGGGCATCCACTGACAATGTGTTGGACGGTCTCATTAAATTCATTACATAATCTACATTTCATATTTACATTTTGATGCAAAATCACACATTGACGGTTTCGAGTGAGAAGTGATTGGTCCTGAACAGCGAACAGAAAGCATTCAGTTTCACTTTTCAGGCCAGACGACTTCATCCAAGCAAAGGACTCTGCAGGATTGCTGATCTTCACTGCACATAAACTCGATGCAGTGGTCGTTCAGACAGCCTCTCCTTCAAAAACTGAGTCTGGGCCGACTTGATATGGCACTTCAAGCAGTACAGAATTCGAACCATCAACAAAATCAACATTGAGATTATGTCCCACATCCTTGGCTCGTTTACGATAACTGTAGAATGCCTTGTTTTCGTCATGAGTCTTCACATGCTTCACGAGAGAATCATCAGGCAAATAAATGTTATCATTATTATCATTATACATTGATATACCGCAGGAATCCAAGTACTAGTATCTGCTCAAATGCGGTTTTATTTCTTTCCCGACCAGTGTTCCCGTGTGTTTTACGCTTTTGAATCTGCTTTTAGCATACATGTGGTTCAAAGTATGCTGCTGCTATTTATGCTCTAAAGGAAATATAACACCCTGGATAATAGAGGATAGGCGGCGATGGAAGTTTTCACCTCATGTCACCATGGCGTGATCTAGTATTCATAAACACATTTATTATAATCTCGTTGTATAACGAAAATGTATCTTACATCATTTCGAGTGCAATCGTGAAGTTAACAGTCTGTGTCGTGATATTGGTGTACAACTCTCAGTACCGGTTACCGTGACAACAAAAGCTTGTAAAATGACGACTTTGTGGTTGGTATTACATGGTTTTGAGCTAATCAAATACTTCAACGACTTTACCTGGCCTTAAGCCGAAAATGGAAGCCTCGATTCCAGATGTAGGGATCATAGTGACGTCATTGAGGAACTTGGCAGGCTCAAAGGGAGGTAAGTCGCCGATAACTTTGTTGCCATCCCGGGATATCGTTTTCAAAAAATTAGGATCGGGATGATGGAAAAAAGCTGAGGAAGAAAATAACCAAAAAACAGGGTCAGTGATGAAGATAACAGTGTCAGTGATAAATATAACAGTGTCAGTGATGAAGGTAACAGTGTCAGTGATGAAGGTAACAGTGTCAGTAATGAAGGTAACAGTGTCAGTGATGAAGATAACAGTGTCAGTAATGAAGGTAACAGTGTCAGTGATGAAGGTAACAGTGTCAGTGATGAAGGTAACAGTGTCAGTGATGAAGGTAACAGTGTCAGTGATGAAGGTAACAGTGTCAGTGATGAAGGTAACAGTGTCAGTGATGAAGGTAACAGTGTCAGTGAAGAAGGTAACAGTGTCAGTGATGAAGGTAACAGTGTCAGTGATAAAGATAACAGTGACAGTGATGAAGATAACAGTGTCAGTGATGAAGGTAACAGTGTCAGTGATGAAGATAACAGTGTCAGTGATGAAGACACCAGTGTCAGTGATGAAGGTAACAGTGTCAGTGATGAAGATAACAGTGTCAGTGATGAAGGTAACAGTGTCAGTGATGAAGGTAACAGTGTCAGTGATGAAGGTAACAGTGTCAGTGATGAAGGTAACAGTGTCAGTGATGAAGGTAACAGTGTCAGTGATGAAGATAACAGTGCCAGTGATGAAGACAACAGTGTCAGTGATGAAGACAACAGTGTCAGTGATGAAGATAACAGTGTCAGTGATGAAGGTAACAGTGTCAGTGATGAAGATAACAGTGTCAGTGATGAAGACAACAGTGTCAGTAATGAAGATAACAGTGTCAGTGATGAAGACAACAGTGTCAGTGATGAAGGTAACAGTGTCAGTGATGAAGATAACAGTGTCAGTGATGAAGACAACAGTGTCAGTGATGAAGGTAACAGTGTCAGTGATGAAGGTAACAGTGTCAGTGATGAAGATAACAGTGTCAGTGATGAAGGTAACAGTGTCAGTGATGAAGATTACAGTGTTAGTGATGAAGATAACAGTGTCAGTGATGAAGACAACAGTGTCAGTGATGAAGGTAACAGTGTCAGTGATGAAGGTAACAGTGTCAGTAATGAAGGTAACAGTGTCAGTGATGAAGATTACAGTGTCAGTGATGAAGATAACAGTGTCAGTGATAAATATAACAGTGTCAGTGATGAAGGTAACAGTGTCAGTGATGAAGATAATAGTGTAAGTGATGAAGGTAACAGTGTCAGTGATGAAGGTAACAGTGTCAGTGATGAAGATAACAGTGACAGTGATGAAGACAACTGTGTCAGTAATGAAGGTAACAGTGTCAGTGATGAAGGTAACAGTGTCAGTGATGAAGATAACAGTATCAGTGATGAAGGTAACAGTGTCAGTGATGAAGATTACAGTGTTAGTGATGAAGATAACAGTGTCAGTGATGAAGACAACAGTGTCAGTGATGAAGATAACAGTGTCAGTGATGAAGATAACAGTGTCAGTGATGAAGGTAACAGTGTCAGTGATGAAGGTAACAGTGTCAGTGATGAAGGTAACAGTGTCAGTGATGAAGATAACAGTGTCAGTAATGAACATAACAGTGTCAGTGATGAAGACAACAGTGTCAGTGATAAAGATAACAGTGTCAGTAATGAAGGTAACAGTGTCAGTGATGAAGGTAACAGTGTCAGTGATGAAGATAACAGTGTCAGTAATGAAGGTTACAGTGTCAGTGATGAAGGTAACAGTGTCAGTGATGAAGGTAACAGTGTCAGTGATAAAGATAACAGTGTCAGTAATGGAGGTAACAGTGTCAGTGATGAAGGTAACAGTGCCAGTGATGAAGGTAACAGTGTCAGTGATGAAGATAACAGTGTCAGTAATGAACATAACAGTGTCAGTGATGAAGACAACTGTGTCAGTGATAAAGACAACAGTGTCAGTGATGAAGGTAACAGTGTCAGTGATGAAGGTAACAGTGTCAGTGAAGAAGATAACAGTGTCAGTAATGAAGGTAACAGTGTCAGTGATGAAGGTAACAGTGTCAGTAATGAAGACAACAGTGTCAGTGATAAAGATAACAGTGTCAGTAATGAAGACAACAGTGTCAGTAATGAAGGTAACAGTGTCAGTGATGAAGGTAACAGTGTCAGTGATGAAGGTAACAGTGTCAGTGATGAAGACAACAGTGTCAGTGATGAAGGTAACAGTGTCAGTGATGAAGACAACAGTGTCAGTGATGAAGACAACAGTGTCAGTGATGAAGACAACAGTGTCAGTGATGAAGGTAACAGTGTCAGTGATGAAGATAACAGTGTCAGTAATGAAGACAACAGTGTCAGTGATGAAGGTAACAGTGTCAGTGATGAAGACAACAGTGTCAGTGATGAAGACAACAGTGTCAGTGATGAAAACAACAGTGTCAGTGATGAAGGTAACAGTGTCAGTGATGAAGGTAACAGTGTCAGTGATGAAGGTAACAGTGTCAGTGATGAAGGTAACAGTGTCAGTGATGAAGATAACAGTGTCAGTGATGAAGACACCAGTGTCAGTGATGAAGACAACAGTGTCAGTGATGAAGACAACAGTGTCAGTGATGAAGACAACAGTGTCAGTGATGAAGGTAACAGTGTCAGTGATGAAGGTAACAGTGTCAGTGATGAAGATAACAGTGTCAGTGATGAAGACACCAGTGTCAGTGATGAAGGTAACAGTGTCAGTGATGAAGACAACAGTGTCAGTGATGAAGGTAACAGTGTCAGTACTCCTACCAATGTTACTACTGCTTGTTCTACTACCAATGTTACTGCTGCTTGTACTACTACCAATGTTACTACTGCTTGAACTACTACCAATGTTACTACTGCTTGTACTACTACCAATGTTACTACTGCTTGTTCTACTACCAATGTTACTTCTGCTTGTACTACTACCAATGTTACTTCTGCTTGTACTACTACCAATGTTACTACTACTTGAACTACTACCAATGTTACTACTGCTTGTACTACTACCAATGTTACTGCTGCTTGTACTACCAATGTTACTACTGCTTGTTCTACTACCAATGTTACTACTGCTTGTACTGCTACCAATGTTACTACTGCTTGAACTACTACCAATGTTACTACTGCTTGTACTACTACCAGTGTTACTACTGCTTGTACTACTACCAATGTTACTACTGATTGTACTACTACCAATGTTACTACTGCTTGTACTACCACCAATGTTACTACTGCTTGTACTACCAGTGTTACTACTGCTTGAACTACTACCAATGTAACTGCTGATGTTGCTACCACTTCAGCTACTGAGACTTACTTTCATTCTTCACGTTTGCTCCAGATCTGTCAGTTGACCTGATGTTGGGCGTGGTCTGAAAGGGGTTGATGCTCGCAAAGCCTGGGGCAGGGGAGGTTGTGGCGGCACCCATGCGGGACGCGCTACCAAACAGAGCTGTGGGAGAACATTTCAACCTTTTATATCACAAGTACCAGCATATGAGACAGTTGACGTTGTACATGTACGAGTGAGTGAGTGAGTGAGTGAGTGAGTGAGTGAGTGAGTGAGTGAGTGAGTGAGTGAGTGAGTTCGAATCCCGGTTGGCCAGATTATGTTTCTAGGTTTGTCAGCACCATATCCATGCTTGTGGGTTTCACCGAAGTGGTAAACGTCTGAGACCTGCATCATTTCGGGCTTTCCTCCCACATTAAGCTGAAACGCCGCGATATGACTGGAATGCTGTTAAAAGCAGCGTTAAACACAACTCACTCACTCACATAATTTATTGTCATGGCACAGTGAAACAGCATCCGAAATTGTCTCGTACAACACAAGATTTCCATATATTGCGCAATTCCTTTTGTGGGAGATACAGAACCTATCACCCAACCGTCCGATATTTATGGTGTTTATATTAATATGTGCAAGTATTGCACCATGGCGTGTTTATTGTGCACATATTGTCTTTATTCATGTGTTATGTAAAGTACTTCTATTTCAGGATCTGAGGCTAGCATGTTGTATCTGGTTGGAAAGCAAGACACCCTGCATCACGACTGATAGACTGCAATATTATATTAAATGTTAACGTGACCTTCCCAGCCTATAATGTCTCACAATGTGCATACACGACAGCCGGAGACAACATGCTCATAAATGTCACGAGTGCCACAGCCGAAACAGCGGTGTGTAAAGGGCGCTGAGGTCACTCCACAAAGTCAAGGTCACAAAAAACGGCTGCTCGTCGGCATCAGCCAGACACGCCATGTACCTCAATCAACTACAACGTCACACAGCATGAACAACAACACCCGTGACGTTGACATCTTGCTCTTCGGGCGTTAACGTCTTGGGAATAATACAAACATTGAATTGACATTTTCGAGAAAGTGATGCTTTGTACACTCACACTTTTGAAGATGAAAGTGAAGTAGCAAGGCCACTAACATGGCGACCAAGGACATGACCAGGATGCCGAGAAGGACGTATGTCCGAGTTCGCTTTCTCCGAGCCTTCGCTTCCTCTGCTGAGGGGAAGATGACATCAGGTGGGAGTGCCCTGTCAGCGGGAATCTCCGAGTATTCTGCATCCGGGTTTGAGATTGGGTCATCGGCTGGGTGTGACGTCATTTCCTGTTGCGGCCATGTTTTGAGATCCTGAAGCTGGGATTTATCTTCCGCTCTTTGGCTTTGGAGGATCTGCGGGTACAGAATAAAGACGATCGGTTCGTTTATGCTTAAATCTTTCAATAAGTTTCATTGTTCCTTTATGTTCATACATCCTTACCATGACGTAACAGAGCATTCAATAAACTGTTTTTAAAGTGTAAATAAGGTTACCGACATGTCTTTTTTGAAAGAATATCTGAACAGAATACACTAGGAGAAATGGAAATATGAATAAAAACAGTTGCATGTTTTTTATTGTTTGTTTTTCGTTAAGAATAAAGATTTTGTTTGTTGCATGAAAGGATTTTCTGAATGAGTGTCCTATGTCGGTTCTTCATGATCAGACAGCAGATGGTTGAACCAATAGGTCTATATTCATCACAAATTACCACTTTCAAGTTTAGTAGTGTTAAAAACCAATCTTATAAAATGTTCTTATCTACCCTAGACTGATCATTGAGATGTAATACTAGCTTATGTTTCACATTTTTTGTGTTCTATAATACCCTTTATTGTATATTGAACCTGTATTGAAGTGCATGTTTGTTTGTTTTGTTTATTCGTTGTTTAACGCCGCACCCATCAGTATTGTATATGACGGCGGTCTGTAAATAATCGAGCCTGGATCACACAATCCAGTCAATGATATTATGAGCACCGATCCACGCAATTGGGATACGATGACACAGAGCACTTATGCACAGTGAATGCTGCGCTATACAAATGCATAAATTATTATTATTATTATTATGACATTCATCAACCAAGGCAGCGACCCTGACCACGCGATTCTATTAGCCGCCTCTTACAAGCATAGTCGCCTCTTACGACAATCATGGGTTACTGAAGATCTCTTCTAACCCGGATCTTCACGGGTGTAACTGAATGTGTCTAAAGTTTTCAACAATAAAAATTCATAAAATGTCTGGAGCACGTTTTCGTGAACCCAAAGAGTAACTCTGTCTGTAACAGATAACTAATGGCAGATCCGCTGTCTGAGGTACATCACTTTTTATTTTATAATGTTGTGACGCTTTCACCTTGGAAACTCGAATGCAGACGGGAAGGCTATCCTGTAGAACCCGTAGATGTTCCATGGCTCACAAATAGGAGATATTTTCTGTGCGATGAGGGTGTCTTAGACGGACCAACCTGTGAAACTATGCTTCACACGCCGGAGGTAAATGCTGTGTTGTGAGAGTGTATCCCAGACGGCCAGACCGACGACGACGCCATGAGAGCGTTCCCCAAACGGCCAGGGCGGTGGAGACACCATGCCACTCAATCGGGAGGTGTACCCTGAGTGTCACACACGACTAGACAAAGCATCTGTAGTTGCCATAGTAACCCTTCTGTTGGCATTTATATTGGTGGTAGCTGTCTATCATGTACCCTGGGCCGAGAGATCACATCAACACGTGACATGACAAGGGCGGCACGTCAGGGTGTGGGAGACCCGTGTACCACACAAGCAGCAGTTGATAGAAATGTCAGACGCCCTCTGGCCAGTACAGCTCACGCTACAGTGTTTGTGGAGATTTATAGCCGCGTTAAGTGTGAAGACGGAAAGTTGTGCCCATTCTAGGAGAATCACAAATGTTCATGCGGCATAGCTGGGATATTTGTATTTTTCTACAAAGTATATTTGAAACATCAGCGTCATCCACATGTTTACCATCAAACTATTATATATAATGAAGACAGAGGTCTTGAAAAGTATTTCAAAATACATCTTGTGAGTGAGGGAGTGAATTGTATTCAGATACACCACGCCGGCTGTTTATAGTGGACTCTGGACTAGGAGTAATTGAGTGAATATGGTTTTACGCCGCTTTTAGCAATATTCCAGCAATATCACGGCGGGAGACACCAGAAATGGGCTTCACAGATTGTACCCATGTGGGGAATCGAACCTGTGTCTTAGGCGTGTCGAGCGAACGCCTTAACCACTAGGCTACCCCAACGCCCCTCTGGACTAGGACAGCTCGTGACTGAAACCATCGGTGTTGATGCCTTGTCGGCATGTCTCCCAGCATGCGTTATAACGAGCAAGTGGTGTCAGCTGATTGTTTTGTTCTCTCTATGTCTGCTGAATATAACTTCAACGCAATGTGTTGTGAAACATAATTAAATTGTTCTGCTCCACCTTACTTACTGCATAACTCAACATATATATATTCTATGTCTTGTCACAGTTAGACATCCCGAAACTGAAAATGATGGACAATCAATATGAACCAAATACATGTTCGTCATGCTGTGGCAATGATCATCATTGTTATGATGAATTCTGAATGACTCTGATCGCCTAATCACAAGGTTGGATTAAAAGAAGTCAAATTGGTAACAATCTCTGTCAGTCAGTCAGTCCTTGTACACAAAACAGCACTTATTGTATCACGTGATTACAACAGCCGGCAGTAGACTTCAACAATCATACACATTACTAAAACAGACATTAGTCTCAACTGCCGTCGGTTCCATCCGTTCATGCATAATCCACATAATATGCATACTCCCCAGGAAGTTGAGAATATTTTTGGGATCCACACAGACCCGTTGTATTTGGTAATATATAGCGTGGCGGCTTACTCTTCATGCACAAATATCTGTGTTATATATATACACCACCATCTTTGAAGTGTAACTGTGAGTTCATTTGAAATGTAGAGATTCACAAATGGTACACTGTGTATTGACACATCAATCATCTGCCTGAAGAATGGTAGCCACCTTAACTGCCAACCTTGTGGGTGTGATTGTGCGAGCCATATGCACACCTAAGGGGTTCCTATAGAGAAATTCCTGTTTATTGACAGAAATTTGTTCAGTCTTTCTTGCTATTAATTCGTTGGAACGGTTGTACCTGAGATGCCTCAGCGTACTATCACAGAAAAATAAACATAGCAAATCAAAGGCATGCAAACTGACATGTCATGTCGGGTTGTTGCGACCGGGTCGAACATTATATCATACGATAATCAGTCGACTCATTAGAAAACACACACTGACTGGACATGCGAGGGACTTGCCGAGATCAGGACGTCCACGGGAGACCAGTGCCAGAGAAGACAGTCGACTCATTAGAAAACACACTGACTGGACATGCGAGGGACTTGCCGAGATCAGGACGTCCACGGGAGACCAGTGCCAGAGAAGACAGTCGACTCATTAGAAAACACACTGACTGGACATGCGAGGGACTTGCCGAGATCAGGACGTCCACGGGAGACCAGTGCCAGAGAAGACAGTCGACTCATTAGAAAACACACTGACTGGACATGCGAGGGACTTGCCGAGATCAGGACGTCCAGGGGAGATCAGTGCCAGAGAAGACAGTCGACTCATTAGAAAACACACACTGACTGGACATGCGAGGGACTTGCCGAGATCAGGACGTCCAGGGGAGACCAGTGCCAGAGAATACAGTCGACTCATTAGAAAACACACACTGACTGGACATGCGAGGGACTTGCCGAGATCAGGACGTCCAGGGGAGACCAGTGCCAGAGAAGACAGGGTCCTTGTACAAAGGCAAAACGGCTGCCAGCTTCAACTTGCACTGTTCTTCGTCACCATTGGTATACAAATACAATGTCTCGAAGAGCTTCAGACGTCGACAGAATGCAGCAGGATGAAGGACTAAAAGACTAATCAGATGCCCACTCCTCTCACCCCAACACATTGACGACAATGCCCGACCCCCACTCCTCTCACATCAGCACATTGACGACAATGCCCGACCCCACCGAGCACGAGTTGAGACTTACGTCTCTAGAACAACGCATTTGAGACTCTGCCTTGGCCTTCTGGGAAGCCCTGACCTGAATCCAATCCAGCATCTGTAGGATCAGTTGGGACGTAGTGTTATATCCAGGGACCATCCAGTACAGAATCTTCGAGAATTGACCAGGCATTGCATCAGGATAGCAACACATCCCTCAATTGAGGATCAGGCGTCTGAGATGTCTTGTGAAATATATACAGTGTAGCAAGAGAGACGACTTCACCTTTCAAATAGCCAACTGTCGAGCAATATTCTTGCAGCTCCAGCCTTTGGTGTCAACATTTTACATCGTTTGAGGTAAAGTCGAGTATGCTATTTCTATCAAGATTTCAAAGAACGTCATACAACTCTTGCTACAATGTTTTTGTATCAGGTTTACAACATTCAAGGCCTCAGTGGGCTTTAAAAAACATTTATGGCAGCGATGGGGAGGAAATTTCCAAATTTGATGCACCAGTGACAAAATTGATATCCGATGCAATTCCCTATTACAGTTTGATGTACATGTTAGTAGTTTAGTGGATTTAGTCGGACAGGCGCATCTAAACGATGCAGCAGGAAAAGAAGACGGTGAACTTATGGCGGGTGCCACCGGTGGGGCAGGATTCGATCACCTTTTCGCGAACACCTGGTATCATCACTATTTGGACTACACTGAGTATGCCTTCGGAAGGGTATTTAACTACCTCGTACAAGCATACACGTACCTGAAAGAATTTCAGAAAGATCAATGTCGTGTTCATGAAATGTTAATCCGTATTATTATACCTCAATGAAAACAAATACACATTGAAGTCAATTCTCACCAATAAATACGAACAGAGGCCCCGCCATTTATATTATCAGCCATTCAGGAAACAGTACTCCGTTCGTGGACGTGGCCAAGCATGGACACATAAACAAATACATCGCTTAAACAGAGTTAAACATTCTAATGAAAAGTGACCCCCTTTACTCGAAATGGTGCAATTGAAGACACATCCATCCATCATATCTGTCCTCGAAATTTTAGAGAGGTTGGTTTAGATGAGAGGTTCAAGGTGCTGCAACCACTACTCCTGCTTATCAACAAGACATCCCCACTACCTGCATAAATACACATAATAAACGAGGATGGAGCTATAAACTTGAATCGCATCTTCCGTGAACTACATCATCAATCCTACACGCTTATATCCAATGGGCAGACTTGTGGACAGTCAGTGTTCCAATCATGAGCGAGGCAACTCACTCACGGAGTCATTCAAGAGCTCACTGGATGAAATGATACACAGCATCACACGAGCGTTCTAACACCTGGATACAACATGTGGATCTTTAGAGTTAAGCAAGCTTTGTTCTGAAGGACCTGAATCAAAGATAATAAGTGTCAAATACCATTTGTGATTGTACATGTTGTTTTCCGAGGCTTTCTAATAAATCATCATTTCAATACTTTGGTGTTCTTCTGTCGCACTGATAGCAAGCTCTAAATGACACTGAAGAACAAATATATATATGCTAGATTAAAAATAAATCTAACTTACCACAACGCGACATCAAACAATACAAACTACACGATTTAAACATAAAGTGACATAAAGCAGAGTAGATTGTACACTTCCGACTATATCATGAGCACGTGAAACTGCAAACGTACATGTGGGGGTATGAGGTTATGTGAACAGTGTGCTGAAGACATGACATCTGAAGTCCAGCATTAACTACAGGAGGTATATCAGCTGGTACATGGGCCGTGTGCGGTGTGCAATGATCTCCATACCTCCTGCAGTGTATCCTGACGAGACAATCGCCTCCGTGGTCTAGTGGTAGAGCGTCCGCCCGGAGAGCGGAAGGTTGGGGGTTCGATACCCAGCCGCGTCATACAGAAATATTGAGTGAATATGGTGTTACGCCGCTTTTAGCAATATTCCAGCAATATCACGGCGGGGGACACCAGAAATGGGCTTCACACATTGTACCCATGTCGGGAATCGAACCCGGGTCTTCGCCGTGACGAGCGAACGCTTTAACCACTAGGCTACCCGACCGCCCCTCATACAGAAATATGTTAAAAGATGGTACTTGTTGTTACCCTGCCTGGAGTTCGGCATTAAGGTGCTAAAACAAGGACTGGTCGGTTCGGAGTCAGTATACTGTGTCTGAGTGGGATATTCATGTTAAACTTCGGCATGGTATCTCAGTGGGCTAGCACTGTAAACTCGGCATAAGTCCGGACAAGTACAAGCAGCAACACACACACACGTGCATGCACGTCGCTATATAAGTGCAGTAATCTTGGGCGCGACGTTAAACACCATTTCACCTCACCTCGCCTGACGAGACATCTCGGGGTACATGCAGGTGTGCGCATTAGACACATTACATCCGGTGTGCTCCGGAGTCCGTCGTTGATGCCGTGAGGAATACCTTCACAACAAAGCATCTGTTCTGCACACTGCCTCTGTTCCGTTAGAGATACCATAATGGCGTGTCTCATCCGAATGTACGAGGCACTCAGAGAATACACACCGACTCTACAGCATCATATTGAACAGAACATGGGGCTTCGGTGTTATTGCCTTTGTCATTTGAGAGTATTTAGGAACATGTAAATGAACATATTACCTTTGTAAAATCCCTTGTTTTCACAAAAGACTGGTACTGGTGATATACTTCCCCGTCAAAGAAGTTAATCCATGTTGGCTTAACGGTTGGGTGGTCCATTGTGTCGGACATACAGTCCAGCCTGTTAGGTGCTGAAGGCGACACTCGTCGCCCAAGGATTGTCTGGGTATTTCATACTTTGTGTTAACTGTTAGTTTTTTCCCTGTCACGCGAGATATATAGTCTTTACCGGGCTGGGAACCCGGCGATGCGAGTATGGATCATATAGCCTGGGGCTGGGTATGAAAAAGGCTACATCGCAACTTGGAGTATCCCACGTGACACATTGAGTGATTGTTTACGAGTGGGCCATTGCGTGATGTGTAAAAAGCTAGTTATAAACACACATTTCTCAACTTCATCGGATAGAGTTCAAAGGACTATCTTTTATGTACATTTACATGTGTTTGTAACAACGGCGCGATGTAGCGAGGTGTAAACGTCAGGAACGACGCACACAGGCAATCCGTAACATGTGCACGAGCTTGCGAACAAGGAACTTTAATCTGTTACAGCAACCATGCATGTAGCTGGATAATCCGCACCACTGGCGATTTTCAACCCATCAGTTTTAAACACTCGTCGCTTGTCATATAATTTGCGTATTCTAGAAAATAAACTTGAAGGATGACGAAACATTGAGGTAGTGAAAAAATATTTTACACCGCAGTTTGTAATATTCCAGCTACATGCACATGGTGGCCGAGTGTAGAGGAATGGTCCAGACACACAAGTGGTTGAGCGAGTGAGTGAGTGGTTGAGTGAGTTGTTGAGTGAGTGAGTGAGTATGGTTTTACGCCGCTTTTAGCAATATTCCAGCAATATCACGGCGGGGGACACCAGAAATAGGCTTCACACATTGTACCCATGACGGGAATCGAACCCGGGTCCTCGGCGTGACGAGCGAACGCTTTAACCACTAGGCTACCCGACCGCCCCCACAAGTGGTTGAAGCTATTAGCATCGATACGTGCCAACGATATACGATGACGGTATTGTAGCCAGCTTTTGTCACAATAACAGGGTCTCGGGGAGTCCGGACTTATTCTGTTACCGAGTCTAAAATATTACAAATTTTATAATACCAAACTCTCCCTTACCCCATATCCTCTGCCAATTCATACTTTATTTCATCGGGGCGGTCGGGTAGCCTAGTGGTTAAAGCGTTCGCTCGTCACGCCGAGGACCAGGGTTCGATTCCTGACATGGGTACAATGTGTGAAGCCCATTTCTGGTGTCCCCCGCCGTGATATTGCTGGAATTATTGCTAAAAGCAGCGTAAAACCATACTCACTCACTCACTTTATTTCATCATAAGTAAAACTTCAAAAAACAAATTTTATCGAAAAAATAACGGGAAGTGATGCCTTGTGGATTGTCAGCTTGCTTTCCCAAGCTCTTCGTGTTGAGTTTTCGAACAGAAATCCATAGTTATGAAAGGAAGAGATTGGCATCCATACCCTGTATGTAACAAAAGGGTTTAGATCCCAAACACAAACCTAAACACGCTCCTTGACACCTTACTGTGACATGTTTAGGACTGTGGGTGGGGCGGATCTAGGTGGTAACGAAAACAGTTGAGGGTCTATTGTAGTAGACAGATAAAGCAAAGCTTTCATTATCAGCTTCCCGAATGAAGCAACAGCAACAACACATTTAAGAAGTCTTGAAATGTCGAACTCGACGGGATACGACCCTGCAACCTCTTAACTTCCTGCCCGTCACGTTACCACCTGTGCTACGGAGACAGATGCCATCCATTTTCCTTGACACCATTTACGGAGCGTGTTCTTGTACATCTCTATGTTAGTATTGTGCCAGGTGTGTTGCAAGTCCTGGTGGCTATGTGTTATGCAAGTGCCTGTCAATCTGATTTGGACATCTAATTTCAATATATATTATACATCTTATCCATATTGGACATTTTACCTAATGATATGAATTTTACTTGAACAAGTTTAAATTTTTAACATGTTTAAATGTGTTTAAGTTCTTACCATGTTTAAACTTTAAACACGTTCAAATTCATTTCATGTTTAAACGTGTTTTAGTTCCAAACATGTTCAACCTTTTAAATTTTAATTATTTTTAAACGTGTTTAAATTCTAAACATGTTTAGGTTTTGGGGGGTGTTGTGTTTAAGTGGTATTTATACTGTTAGACGATAGCTCACATCGTGTGTTTAGATCCTGAGGTGATTAGATGGAACACACCGAGTGTGTATTCCGTATAGGATATAAACACGTTCCTAAATATGTTCAGATCTAAACATGTCTTGCTTGTGTTTACATTCTAAACACATTTTACAGTGTATATGTTCAAATGATGATTTTATACATGAAACCGTTTAAACAATAGAGATATGACGCCAAGGTAGGGAATTCATACCATTAATGCACTCGGGGCAGATAACTCGAAATTACTCGTTGCTCGTAGTATCCCATTGTTCAAGATATACAATATTACACACATCTATCACTTAACGTTTTGTACTCTCATCACGAAATCATGACATAGAAAAATAAACAAAGAACAACTACCAACAAAACTTTGATACAAATATATTTATTTCAATGTCCCAATTACTATTTTTTACGAGTGTTGGCATTCCATGAAATCCCAGCAACATACACGAGCACTGTACACGGAACACAGCCATTCTGTGTGATACAATACACAAAAATCAAATCGTCTTTAAAAAGATAAATAACCCTCAAGCGACATTACATGAACGTAGCCCATCCAGATAATGAGAATGATAATTGAGATACATTGGCTAAGGGGCCAGCCATTTGCTCTATTAAGGGCTCGTAGGGCGTTGGCTTGTGTTTTGCAGAACAGTTTTTACACAAAAAAAGTATCAACTTAAAATATACTGATTCTGGTCCCAATCGCTCGTCTTTCAAGAAGTGACAGAATATACCCTGCCGGGATTTCATTCCTGCCAGAATGTTACCATGGACAGGTTACATGAACTGTGTATCAAGATACACTTTACACCAGTAAATAAGGATACCGAATGAGATCCACATTTCAGTAAAAATACAAGACAATGCTGAACTACATCATCAGCCCAGCGGCAGTTCGGATATGTCCGTGCATAGACAGTGGACAGAACATGTAATAAATATACACGTCAAAACATAACGTGCAACAATCTGGCTCACGCGTGACACTACCTGCCACACTGCACGTGCGTGACACCCCAGGACATGACACCACATGACATGCACCTTCGCAGTAACCTGAAAGGCAGGGGGTCCCGCGACGCCAAACACATCAGCTCCATCTGTGCACAGAGTTAGAAATCTGGGCGTGTTTGCGACGCAATTAATTTGTGAAGATCGTCGGACCGAGTCGTCCCAGGTACATCTGCTGGTTGGGTGAAGCTTTGGTATCACGTGACCTGGCATTCTGCAGCAAATCCTTAATCACGAAAACTTCGCTCTACATACAGTAAGCTACGGTTATAACGAACTGAACGGGACCACAAATTGTAGTTCGTCATAACCGAAGTTCGTTATATGCATGTAAACAACAAAATGGCCGGGATAAAAAAATAAGTTCGTTACATCCGTTAGTTCGTTACAGGCGTGATTGTTATAAACGTTTACTGTACACTGTACACGCGACGCAACATACTATGACGGCGCGAGCCAACATCATCAGCCAGCATCACCACAACTCCTTGTCACAGCCTCATCATGCGTCCATATATTTCCATTGAGTAGGGCGTCTTCACGGAATCATTGCAAACACTGTACAATATATACAACCTCTCGTATCGGCATGCACTCATTGTGTGCACTCGTTGTATGCACTCAATGTATGCACTCGTCGTATGCACTCCTTGTATGCACTCCTTGTATGCACTCGTTGTATAAACTGGGGCGGTCGGGTAGTCTAGTGGTCAAAGCGTTCGCTCGTCACGCCGAAGACCCGGTTCGATTACCGACATGAGTACAATGTGTGAAGACCATTTCTTGTGTCCGCCGCCGTGATATTGCTGGGATATTGCTAAAAGCGGCGTAAAACCACACTCACTCGCTAATTGTATGAACTAGCATCAACAAATACGTCAGCTCGGCGTCCACAACGTGGAGACACCCGCTAAGTACAACACGTCCCGTAGGCCAGCCCTGTGTTACGTGTGAGGACTGTTTGTTTGTTGTTTAACGCTGCACTCAGAGCGATAGGGGATAAATTCACAGCCAATTGAAGATCGTTACATTTGGATCCCGCGGATAACTCAGGTCATGAAAGTGGTGAGATATCAGTCATGCCTGTCCTTTCTGACATTACACAGATAATCACCAAGACATTCCACCAGGACGCTAGTTGGCCATGCCATTAACATCAAAATGGCGTCTGAATGGTACTTTGGTTATATGGATTTCAACAAAGTCTGTTACATAGATCAGAAGGCACGTATGAATAGGAACATGTACAGTCGACATGTCTTAAGTTGACATGCGCTTTATGAAAGTCAAGACACCAGAACCACTGTCACTATCCCACTAGTTGGGATTCATCACAAAAAGCCGATACTTTGTCAAATGTACAAGGTCCTACGAATTGAGTATAAAAGGTTCCCGTTGCGCATGTCTGTTCAATCGGTTGTCCATTGACGCACCATGCGTATTTCGTACACGAGTCCCGCCAGGGAATGTAGGCGCCGTTGGTCTTCCCGTCACAGCTGAAGGGGTCGTCGTCCGCCGTTCCTGCACAGAGGGAAGAAAACTGTTAGCATCATGCACATTTAAATACTGAATAATGTGAGTGAGTGAGTGAGTTGGGTTTAACGCCGCTTTTAACAATATTCCAGTTATATCGCGCTATTGAGTTATCATTATGCCAATATAATAATAATAATAATAATAATAATAATAAAAATAATAATAAAAAATCATTATCATCATTAGTCATTACTACAAAATCATAGAAAAACACAATGCTTCTATTATATATCATTGTATCTCTTGACAGACATGACCCTGGATGCCTCAACTAACAGGAACTCAGTAATGAAAACAAATGTTCATGCTAAAAACATTTGGCAAACTAATCCATGTCAAATTATATACATAAAATGCATTTTACGTATTCTTCTGAAACGTAAGTACAGTGCAGTTGTAAACATGATCAGCGCTTTATTACACGTATGTACTATTGTATAAAACACATAGTAAATATACATCTAATGTCCAGTGACAAGGCGCTCTCATTGGACCCTCCGTATTCACAATAGGAGTGGAAGAGTAACTTCCCTTTATACACAAGGAGGGAGGACACGAGTCAGCATGTTCTCCTTGTATGTCCAATCTTTAGCTCACGTTTCAACTGATTGCATTCTAATAAGGTTAGTATGACTGCAAACTATAATGTTTTAATGTCTATTCTAACACATCTAGATCTGTTCTGTACTACACTAACAGTTAACCTATCGATCTATCTATATTACAGACATATGGAAGAGAGCGACAGATTAGGAACAGATGAATTGCAGTCTACTGATTTAGCACTATCCATCGTTACTGGGAAAGATCACGTGTAACAGAGGTACTCTGGTCGTCTCAAAGATAAGGGAGTACTTGTTGGGTCAAAAGGGATGTATTTTCAATGGGCGTAGAGTTGGCTATCTGTGATGGACCACGTTTTGACTATCATCTCCTGACACTGAAATGACCAGGCTCCATCTGCAACCAACTTGTCAGTCTTATAAATGTGCAGACTTTTTTCATGATTAACGACTTTTCCTGAGTGGAAATGAGAGTATTCCCCATCACAGGCCTGGTGATGTCATTCCAGAAAGCCTATGGGGTGAGTGAGTGAGTATGGTTTTACGCCACTTTTAGCAATATTCCAGCAATATCACGGCAGGGGACACCAGAAATGGGCTTCACACATTGTACCCATGTCGGGAATCGAACCCGGGTCTTCGGCGTGACGAGCGAACGCTTTCACCACTAGGCTACCCGACTGCCTCCGGGAAAATCTATGGTTGACACTGGTAGAGGGATGTGCTGAATATGACCCGTCACTTGTCAACATAATGCACGATGCTGTACCATGGTATGATCTGTACACGGAGTTCTCAGACCTACTTACTGACAGGCATGTACTTTTGTAATTGATATTGTGTGATTGGCGGGATTGGTGTAAAAGCTGAACATGGTTACCATTTTCCGAAAACCTCATATCATCACTGATTTACATCCCTGTTTATGCAATGCATAATCTGTTTCCGCAGTTAATCGAGACTGGTTCTTCTCTGGCGTTGACTTTTTTAAATTTGAGTGCATGACATGGCGGCGGTCGGAGTCAGAGAACGGGCTTTGCAAAGTGTACCCTCACAACAGGAGAGAACCTTCATCTATATGCATCCTGAACACCATGTCCTCACCACCCATGTGGATAATTAGCAGTATGTAACTAAAGGCAACGTAAGTTCAGTCTAATAAGCTTGACAAAGATTGAGATCAGCGCGGCGAACAATACTCACGTGATTATCCTGAAAGACAGCCAGAAGTGTTAATATCACATGAACATGTTTAAGTGCATCGTCTTAGCGTTCACTGATACCAAGAGACCCAGCACAGAGGGGTTTATTTGACAGACTCGAACCCGTTTAAGTTTCATCGTAGAACCTATGTTATGTAGATCGCTATACAGCTAACAATCTGCTGGTTTGATGGATAAAAAGAACTTATTACTCTGGAAGGGACGTGATGCGAGTTTCTGTCAGATGACCTCACCCCTGAGTGTTGGGTATAGGCTGGGGAGAGGATGGTGACGTCATTATTCGCTTCATGAAAGGTTAGTATCATATATATCGAGCGACTACCTGTGTTGAACACCAAAGTGTTAAATCCCATGGGTGTGGCCAGTACATGATAAGAGGACATAGGGACTTATAGTGAAACGCGGTTTCACAAACACTTGACACTTGATAGATCCATGAAGCGAATAAGAAATAACGTACCTCACTGTGTTAGCAACGCAAACGTTATAATATCTCATCTTGAATAAAAAAATATTATTTTATTAGAAACGGTGTAATATGAAAGAAATAGTGATTTCCAAAGCTCCATTTGAATGCGTGCACCCACTCGCTACCCTCTACACTGAGGGTTCGAACATAGCATGTCGCTGCAGGGAGACTCCAAAACTCTCAATCCCGCATGCACAAACTGAAAGAAGTTTCATACGTTACCTTGGTTATTTGTATTTTCCACACATTGCTGTATGTCCTGATCAAAGCATAGCGTGCCCGGGCAGTTCTGGGTTAGCCGTGCGCCGGGTATACAGATGATATATTTGTTACAGTCATAGGGATGAGTAACAAGAGAGTTAGCAGGGTAGGGATCGCACAAGTTAGCTGAAGCGAAATGGAGTTTACACGTTAAGAAGGAATATATCTAAAGGGAGATAACTACGAATGAGTTTACCCCAGATATGGTGACTATATTAGAAATATACTCACTGTGTTATACAGAATATATATTTTAAACAAATGCGTCCGATACGTATACTATAAAAAAGTGCCAGTATAAATATGCACGTGAATAGATGGTTAGTGTGCTGCTGTCAATGCAAATGCAATAGTGACCACATTCTGTGGTTAATAGCTAAAACATGATTCAACTGATGTGAATCCAGAATGCGTATTATTCATTTACATTATTATGTTCATAATATAACTTATTCGTTTTTAATTCATTGTTCCATAATGATAATATATATGTTTTAGACCCTATTCGTATCATGTAATATTCCAAATAATCAAAATTACATGATAATCAGATGAATATGAACATAAGCGTTAGACAGTTTTGCAAAATAATTATTTAGAAATTGTGCAAACATCTTTGAAATTTGTTGAAAAATAATATCCCTGATATATATATATATATATATATATATACAAGTTACAACAAGTTCACGCCCCCAAACGTGCGATCAGGAATATTATATTTCAACACATTGCAAAGATGTTTGAACAATTTCGAAATAAACATTTTGCAAAACTGTATTTATATATGTCTTCCTGTTTCATAATGTAAGTGAAAGATAACAAGCTTTCAATTAATGTTTTACATTAATACAAAACTCAAATAAATCCAGTTATCAGGCAATGTACTGTTAGTGCAATATGTGCAATACTTACACGGAACGATCAACAATGTCTTCGAGGAAGACACGTCATCGGGATAAGAAGATTGGCATCGAACCTCGGTGCCATTAAAACTCGTATTAAACGTTGTTGTTAATGTGTGAGTGATGGTCTTTGTGCAATCCCCCAACGATTCTACCCTGGTGTCATCGGGGAAGTCATGACGAAGGAAGGTTGTCTCCCCTGGTCGCTTGATAGCCCAGTAGAGGTCGCCGTCTGTTGCTATGACGGTTGCCTCACAAGTCAGAGTTACTTCGGCGTTTTCTTGAATATCTCCTGGGTACGTCACGATCGGGGGCTCCGGGGGCACTGAAACAGTCGGATATGTAGATGATGTTAGTAGGGAGTACTTGTCGTGCAGGCGTATGCAAGTTGGGTATGTCATTCGCCGATTTGCAGATTGCTTGCCCAGTGCATACTGTTTGTTTGTTTGTTGGTTGGTTGGTTGGTCGGTCAACGCCGCACTAAGCAATATTCCAGTAATATGACAGCGGTGTGAAAAAAAATCGAGACCAGACAATCCAGTGAGTGACATCATGAGCATCGAGCACGCAACTGGGATACGCGGACATGCATTAACCAAGTCAGCGAGGCTGACCACCCGATACCGTTTGTCGCCTCTTTCGACAAGCATAGTCACCTTTTATGGCAAGCATGGGTTGCTGAAGACCTATTCTACCCCGGATCTTCAGGGGTGCACACTGACTGTATATCAAGCCTGCTATATCAGTAAGTTAATATTATTTCCTCGTGAAAGGACTGACTAAATGGTTTCTTGTTTGTTGTTTTGTTGTTGTTTTTTCTTTTTAAATCATTTCTTCGCAAACATATTTTTCCTAAGACTTTACCCAAAGAAAATTGTTGCTAGACACACTAGTCGTACTGAAAAAATGTGTTTGGGCAAATATTCGGCTCCACCTTTCCAAGAAGTAAAGCTTTGTCTTTCAGCAGCTACTGGCATACACACTCGCCTCGTTCCAAGACGCCAAGGAATCACTCAGATGTCGCTCTTAACTTTGAAGACTGTAATTTGGAGTTTCGACTCTCAATGTAGGCATTAATGTTTTAATCCGTTCTGATGATGCTTCAACCGACAATGCACTACATTTGCTCCACTAACAAGCAACAGACTTCCAATACACACATCTCTGAGGACATCCAGTACACACATCTCTGAGGACATCCAATACACGTATATATGACATTCAACGTGTTCATGATCACGATTAACTTTCAATAGTTGTGTATCAAATATGACTAATAAAACACTCATCATCAACCTAGGAATTGAAAGTGGTCTAAATGGCATTGTATGTTCATAGATTTCGACCATAGGAGCCGTGCCAATCTACAATCTACACTTGTCAGAGGGGTACGTACACATCTAGACTATAAGTACGTGATCTAGACTACCAGTTGTCGGACCCTCATTTTGTGGAAGCCTCGGTGGCTGAGTGAGTTAGCTGACTTTGTGTGCTGGCGATTAGGTGCCTCACTCTAGCAGTGTTGGTTCGAATCCCGGATGTGTTATTCCATATAAACGTTGGAATTATAAACATCAAGTACTTACAAGTGACCTTAAGCCTCCCGAAGTCGTTTATACTGGCTGTAGCGAAATTAGCAGCACAGAGATAGGTCGTGTCCTGCTGGCAGGTGATGTTGTCAAATGTGATGATGAATGTGGTGCTGTTGGTGTCGTTGTACCGACTGGAGGAGAGACCTTGACTCAGGAAGACGTTGTTGTTGCCGTCAGAGGTGAAGCCGGCAATGGCACGGAACTGTCCTTGGAAAAACTGGAAGAACCCTACCAAATTCCACCCTTCGCCTTCCAGGGTGCAGGACACTGAGGTCTCCGTGTGGAGCAGAGCAGGCGGGTTGTCCATCGTGATCACTACAAACACAGCATCGTCAGTTACATGCATCAATAATACACACTCCTACCAGCTATGATGTTTAACGTAAACCAACCGGGGATTCTAGGAAGAGAAGGTCTCCTGCTATCCATGCTTGTTTGATTGTGTGTTGGTTGTTTAACGTCGCACTCAGCAATATTCCAGCTATATGACGGCGGTCTGTACATAATCGAGTCTGGACTGTCCAGTGATTGACATCATGAGCATCGATCAACGCAACTGGGAAATGATGACATGCATCAACCAAGTCAGTGACCCTGACAATCCGATTCCGTTAGTCGCCTCTTACGACAAGCATAGTCGCCTTTTTAACTCATTACTCATGACGTGTGCTCCAGATAGGGCGGGACATGATTGCCCTCTTCGCTGACACCTTGTGTCATCACTGGTTCTCAGTGATTTATTCATAATAGTTTCACGGCCATTCGACCCTTTTCACCCAATGGATTCCGTCTCGGCGAATAATCAACACTGGTTATTCTCGGACGTTGAATTTAAGATATATACAGACCGCCATCATACAGCTTGAATATTGCTGAGTGCGGCGTAAAATAATATTTTATAAACCCAAACTAACACATAAACCAAACACCTTCTGATTCTAAAATGTACATACTGTATATCATGTAGCAGCACCAACGACGTTGATACGTTGACATCGCCAACTGTATACTGTTATTCTTACAGAGAGGGGATGTAAAACTTTGGAACTGTTTGAACTAGTGTATATATAAACAGGCATGTCTGTCCCTGCAGAACTCACCCGGCGCTCGAGTAGTTGTTGTAGTCGTTGTTAGACTTGTCGTGGCCGTTGTTGTTGTCGAAGTAGTTGATATGACTGCTGAGGAGGCTTCTAAACATCAGTAACATGAGTTTAGTGATAACCCATTTATCTGATGGGGACCGACAGAGTGATATGTGTTTTTTCCAACATAGATTTTTACAATTTTCTTGAACATTTGATTTCTCAAAATTTTAACAGATTAGTCCAATGAAATGCACCTAAATCGATTACGGTTGTCCTTTTCTGTGAACAAATTAAACATTACGGATGCATATCCTGTTTGAGAACCATGTACAATTTCAGTATATTATCAAAACGTACTCACCTACAGCCTGAGTAGATGAAGGAGCGACTGTAGCTGTTGTCAACGACGCTTGCATGCCTCCGCCTGTAGTAAGTCCCACAATAGACGCTGCTACAGTTGAAGGAAGTATACCTGTCGATGCTGAAGTTGACAACCCGTCAGTTGCCAAACTGCTGTCTGATGACACAGATGGGATGACAGTGTTGGTGCTATCTGCTGCAGGAGAGGTCGTAGCATCCACAAATCCACTCGTGGACGTCATCACCATGCTGTTGACAACAGTGCCACCTCCCAGGCCAGAAGCCATGCTGGCACTTACAGACATCTCTGTGGTCAACGTTGCAGCTCCAGATCCACCAAGAGAAGCCGTTCCTGTAGATGCTCCAACTGATCCGTCCATGCCGTTGAGCGCTGTAGCGAGAGTAGATGATGCATCCATCGTGATGAACTGGGTATCCCCAGACGTCGTAGAAGCCATGCCACCATCCACCATGCTTGTCTGTGCGTCTCCAGTAACCATAGTAACCACACTCACACTCTGGCTGTTGAATGGCGTGCTGGTACTGGCAGTCGCACCTGTCAAGCCTGTTTGTGCGTCTACAGTTGCCATGCTTCCGTCCATGCTGCTAAATGCCGTATTTGAAGCATGTATCATGCTTGCCTGTGCGTCTCCGGTAGCCATAGTAACCATGCTTCCATCCATGCTGTTGTATGGTGTAGATATAGTAGCAGAAGCACCTAACATGCTTGTATATGCGTCACCGGTAGCCATAGTAACCATGCTGTCATCCATGCTACTAACTGCCACACCAATTGTCTCTGATGTGACAACCGCGGTTGTTTGTACACTGCTAGAAACCATGCTTGCATGCAGGCCATTCGGGACACTGGTTGACGTAAGCAAACTAAGGCCTGACATGCTTGGTAACACACTACCTGTCATCATGCTATTTACAGACATCACGAACACAGAACTGACACCATCTGTAGCCGATATGCTGGACAGGCTTGCACCGACACTAGAATGCATGCTGTGGTTGATGTTGCTGTCTAACGTCTGCCCATCTGAGTGTGTTGTCACAGACGGTGTGCCTACTACGCCGGAGCTTGACACAATATTCGTGTCTACCACTACAATGCTCGACCTTAAGTTCATGCTATCTAACAAATCACTGCTCGACACTAAGTTCATGCTGCCTAACACATTACTGCTCGACACTAAGTTCATGCTGTCTAACACATTACTGCTCGACACTAAGTTCATGCTGTCTAACACATTACTGCTCGACACTAAGTTCATGCCGCCTAACACATTACTGCTCGACACTAAGTTCATGCTGTCTAACACATTACTGCTCGACACAAAGTTCATGCTGTCTAACACATTACTGCTCGACACAAAGCTCATGCTGTCTAACACATTACTGCTCGACACAAAGTTCATGCTGTCTAACACATTACTACCACCGAGACCTGTTGACAAGCTTCTATCACTGACATGTACATCATACATAGACACGGTATTTGTAGATACTGTTGTGTGTGTTGAATGGGTATTGGAATCTGTGAGTGTTGGATTTGTAATGGTGGCGCCATCTGTATTGATGTCGGTACTTCCAGTAAACGCTTGACTTGATGTCATTAAAGAATCAAGCACGCCATTACTCAAAGCACTGTTTACAACTGACCCTGTCTGAAGATGTGCTGATGCGGTCTGCATGTTGCTGAAACCGTTTTGAGAACCCACCCTACTTGTAAAAACATCGCCATCAGAGCCCACCAGGAGAGTAGCCGATGCGCCGCCATACACCGAGGTCATCATAGCCTGGCCACTACCGTGCAGTGTAGATGATTGCAATACGACACTGTTGCCATCCACACTGCTACTACCGAGATTCAGAGTACCTCCCTGCCCATTGCTTCCACTGTTGAGTAAGGACATCTCCCCCGCAGTATTAAACACAGCAGATGATGATACTAATCCACCAACGGTCTCTAGAGAACTCAGTATATTAGCTGTGTCTTGAGCACCTGCTGTTGGTGTGTGTGTATACTCGTCTGTTCCACTGGGTGAGAATGATGCACCAGCATTACCTGTTTGCGAATCCAGCCCACCAATACTTACGGAAGCTGTTTGAGATATTACACTGTTACGCTGACTAGACACTGAAGCAGTATTTACACTAGAAGAAGCAGAAAGGCTTGCGTCACCCGGAGTAGATGGACTAGCTGAAGCAAATGCAGATGTGGCCCCGAGAGTCATTGTTTGCAGTGGAGTATTGGTAGATGAGAGGGGACCTTCAGTTAAGGAGGTCTCAGCATTTGGACTGATGGAAGCTGAATCACTATGGACACTAGAAGCTGATGCAACGATACTTTCCGTTCCGCCAAGCGAGGGAGAATATGTAGCTGCTGCAGCTGGTAGAGTGTTTAGGCTATTTGAGACAAGCATGTTAGATGCAGAACCATACAGGTCTGAAGCAACAGTCCTTGTTCCACTATCTGATCCCGAGCTAACACCATCGGACCCTGAACCCACACTTCCTTCTACAGTACCTGGCGTAAAAACAAAAGCTGTTAACGTGTTGTCAAAAACAGACAATGTTTGCTCAGGGGAGATATACGAGTCAGGAAGGGAGGTTAACGCTGTTGGATATATATTTCCATCACCACTCTCTCTAATGAGACCGTCACTTGCTCTGGACGAGACGACGCTAGCAGCATCAAACAAGCCGGTTGTTGACATTAGTGTGCTGGCTGACATACTTCCTTCACTACCTGAACTACTAGCAGCTGACACAGAGCCATGGGTTCCACCTAACCCAGCATTGGCAGGGCTTAGAGTATTTGAAGGTGTCAAGGTGGCTGTTCCACCCGACACACCTGTTCCACTACCACCAGCGCTAGAACCACCTAATCCACCTAAAGTAGAACTTGCATCAGCGCCTAGAGTATTTGAAGGTGCCAAAGTGGCTGTTCCACCCGACACACCTGTTCCACTACCACCAGCGCTAGAACCACCCGGTCCACCTAAAGTAGAACTTGCATCACTGCCTAGAGTATTTGAAGGTGTCAAGGTGGCTGTTCCACCCGACACACCTGTTCCACTACCACCAGCGCTAGAACCACCCGGTCCACCTAAAGTAGATCTTGCATCACCGCCTAGAGTATTTGAAGGTGCCAAGGTGGCTGTTCCACCCGACACACCTGTTCCACTACCACCAGCGCTAGAACCACCTAATCCACCTAAAGTAGAACTTGCATCACCGCCTAAAGTATTTGAAGGTGCCAAAGTGGCTGTTCCACCCGACACACCTGTTCCACTACCACCAGCGCTAGAACCACCTAATCCACCTAAAGTGGAACTTGCATCAGCGCCTAGAGTATTTGAAGGTGTCAAAGTGGCTGTTCCACCCGACACACCTGTTCCACTACCACCAGCGCTAGAACCACCTAATCCACCTAAAGTAGAACTTGCATCACCGCCTAGAGTATTTGAAGGTGTCAAGGTGGCTGTTCCACCCGACACACCTGTTCCACTACCACCAGCGCTAGAACCACCTAATCCACCGAAAGTAGAACTTGCATCACCGCCTAGAGTATTTGAAGGTGCCAAGGTGGCTGTTCCACTCGACACACCTGTTCCACTACCACCAGCGCTAGAACCACCTAATCCACCTAAAGTAGAACTTGCATCACCGCCTAGAGTATTTGAAGGTGCCAAAGTGGCTGTTCCACCCGACACACCTGTTCCACCACCACCAGCGCTAGAACCACCTAATCCACCTAAAGTAGAACTTGCATCACCGCCTAGAGTATTTGAAGGTGCCAAAGTGGCTGTTCCACTCGACACACCTGTACCACTACCACCAGCGCTAGAACCACCTAATCCACCTAAAGTAGAACTTGCATCAGCGCCTAGAGTATTTGAAGGTGCCAAAGTGGCTGTTCCACTCGACACACCTGTTCCACTACCACCAGCGCTAGAACCACCTAATCCACCTAAAGTAGAACTTGCATCACCGCCTAGAGTATTTGAAGGTGCCAAAGTGGCTGTTCCACTCGACACACCTGTTCCACTACCACCAGCGCTAGAACCACCTAATCCACCTAAAGTAGAACTTGCATCACCGCCTAGAGTATTTGAAGGTGCCAAAGTGGCTGTTCCACCCGACACACCTGTTCCACTACCACCAGCGCTAGAACCACCCGATCCACCAAAAGTAGAACTTGCATCACCGCCAAAAGTATTTGAAGGTGCCAAAGTGGCTGTTCCACCCGACACACCTGTTCCACTACCACCAGCGCTAGAACCACCTAATCCACCTAAAGTAGATCTTGCATCACCGCCTAGAGTATTTGAAGGTGTTAAGGTGGCTGTTCCACCCGACACACCTGTTCCACTACCACCAGCGCTAGAACCACCCGGTCCACCTAAAGTAGAACTTGCATCACCGCCTAGAGTATTTGAAGGTGCCAAGGTGGCTGTTCCACCCGACACACCTGTTCCACTACCACCAGCGCTAGAACCCCCCGGTCCACCTAAAGTAGAACTTGCATCACCGCCTAAAGTATTTGAAGGTGCCAAAGTGGCTGTTCCACCCGACACACCTGTTCCACTACCACCAGCGCTAGAACCACCTAATCCACCGAAAGTAGAACTTGCATCACCGCCTAGAGTATTTGAAGGTGTCAAGGTGGCTGTTCCACCCGACACACCTGTTCCACTACCACCAGCGCTAGAACCACCTAATCCACCGAAAGTAGAACTTGCATCACCGCCTAGAGTATTTGAAGGTGTCAAGGTGGCTGTTCCACCCGACACACCTGTTCCACTACCACCAGCGCTAGAACCACCTAATCCACCGAAAGTAGAACTTGCATCAGCGCCTAGAGTATTTGAAGGTGCCAAGGTGGCTGTTCCACCCGACACACCTGTTCCACTACCACCAGCGCTAGAACCACCCGGTCCACCTAAAGTAGAACTTGCATCAGCGCCTAGAGTATTTGAAGGTGTCAAGGTGGCTGTTCCACCCGACACACCTGTTCCACTACCACCAGCGCTAGAACCACCTAATCCACCTAAAGTAGAACTTGCATCACCGCCTAGAGTATTTGAAGGTGTCAAGGTGGCTGTTCCACCCGACACACCTGTTCCACTACCACCAGCGCTAGAACCACCTAATCCACCGAAAGTAGAACTTGCATCAGCGCCTAGAGTATTTGAAGGTGCCAAGGTGGCTGTTCCACCCGACACACCTGTTCCACTACCACCAGCGCTAGAACCACCCGATCCACCTAAAGTAGAACTTGCATCACCGCCTAGAGTATTTGAAGGTGCCAAGGTGGCTGTTCCACTCGACACACCTGTTCCACTACCACCAGCGCTAGAACCACCTAATCCACCTAAAGTAGAACTTGCATCACCGCCTAGAGTATTTGAAGGTGCCAAAGTGGCTGTTCCACTCGACACACCTGTTCCACTACCACCAGCGCTAGAACCACCTAATCCACCTAAAGTAGAACTTGCATCAGCGCCTAGAGTATTTGAAGGTGCCAAAGTGGCTGTTCCACCCGACACACCTGTTCCACTACCACCAGCGCTAGAACCACCCGGTCCACCTAAAGTAGAACTTGCATCAGCGCCTAGAGTATTTGAAGGTGCCAAAGTGGCTGTTCCACCCGACACACCTGTTCCACTACCAACAGCGCTAGAACCACTTGATCCACCTAAAGTAGAACTTGCATCACCGCCTAGAGTATTTGAAGGTGTCAAGGTGGCTGATCCACCCGACACACCTGTTCCACTACCACCAGCGCTAGAACCACCCGATCCACCTAAAGTAGAACTTGCATCACCGCCTAGAGTATTTGAAGGTGCCAAAGTGGCTGTTCCACCCGACACACCGGTTCCACTACCACCAGCGCTAGAACCACCCGATCCACCTAAAGTAGAACTTGCATCAGCGCCTAGAGTATTTGAAGGTGCCAAAGTGGCTGTTCCACCCGACACACCTGTTCCACTACCACCAGCGCTAGAACCACCCGGTCCACCAAAAGTAGAACTTGCATCACCGCCTAGAGTATTTAAAGGTGTCAAGGTGGCTGTTCCACCCGACACACCTGTTCCACTACCACCAGCGCTAGAACCACTTGATCCAACTAAAGTAGAACTTGCATCAGCGCCTAGAGTATTTGAAGGTGTCAAGGTGGCTGTTCCACCCGACACACCTGTTCCACTACCACCAGCGCTAGAACCACCCGGTCCACCAAAAGTAGAACTTGCATCACCGCCTAGAGTATTTAAAGGTGTCAAGGTGGCTGTTCCACCCGACACACCTGTTCCACTACCTCCAGCGCTAGAACCACTCGATCCAACTAAAGTAGAACTTGCATCAGCGCCTAGAGTATTTGAAGGTGCCAAGGTGGCTGTTCCACCCGACACACCTGTTCCACTACCACCAGCGCTAGAACCACCTAATCCACCTAAAGTAGAACTTGCATCACCGCCTAGAGTATTTGAAGGTGTCAAGGTGGCTGTTCCACCCGACACACCTGTTCCACTACCACCAGCGCTAGAACCACCTAATCCACCTAAAGTAGAACTTGCATCACCGCCTAGAGTATTTGAAGGTGTTAAGGTGGCTGTTCCACCCGACACACCTGTTCCACTACCACCAGTGCTAGAACCACCTAATCCACCTAAAGTAGAACTTGCATCAGCGCCTAGAGTATTTGAAGGTGCCAAGGTGTCTGTTCCACCCGACACACCTGTTCCACTACCACCAGCGCTAGAACCACCCGGTCCACCTAAAGTAGAACTTGCATCACCGCCTAGAGTATTTGAAGGTGCCAAAGTGGCTGTTCCACCCGACACACCTGTTCCACTACCACCAGCGCTAGAACCACCCGGTCCACCTAAAGTAGAACTTGCATCACCGCCTAGAGTATTTGAAGGTGCCAAGGTGGCTGTTCCACCCGACACACCTGTTCCACTACCACCAGCGCTAGAACCACCTAATCCACCTAAAGTAGAACTTGCATCAGCGCCTAGAGTATTTGAAGGTGTCAAGGTGGCTGATCCACCCGACACACCTGTTCCACTACCAACAGCGCTAGAACCACTTGATCCACCTAAAGTAGAACTTGCATCAGCGCCTAGAGTATTTGAAGGTGTCAAGGTGGCTGATCCACCCGACACACCTGTTCCACTACCACCAGCGCTAGAACCACCCGATCCACCTAAAGTAGAACTTGCCTCACCGCCTAGAGTATTTGAAGGTGCCAAGGTGGCTGTTCCACCCGACACACCTGTTCCACTACCACCAGCGCTAGAACCACCCGGTCCAGCTAAAGTAGAACTTGCATCAGCGCCTAGAGTATTTGAAGGTGCCAAAGTGGCTGTTCCACCCGACACACCTGTTCCACTACCACCAGCGCTAGAACCACTTGATCCACCTAAAGTAGAACTTGCATCAGCGCCTAGAGTATTTGAAGGTGTCAAGGTGGCTGATCCGCCCGACACACCTGTTCCACTACCACCAGCGCTAGAACCACCCGATCCACCTAAAGTAGAACTTGCATCACCGCCTAGAGTATTTGAAGGTGCCAAGGTGGCTGTTCCACCCGACACACCTGTTCCACTACCACCAGCGCTAGAACCACCCGGTCCAGCTAAAGTAGAACTTGCATCAGCGCCTAGAGTATTTGAAGGTGCCAAAGTGGCTGTTCCACCCGACACACCTGTTCCACTACCACCAGCGCTAGAACCACTTGATCCACCTAAAGTAGAACTTGCATCAGCGCCTAGAGTATTTGAAGGTGTCAAGGTGGCTGATCCGCCCGACACACCTGTTCCACTACCACCAGCGCTAGAACCACCCGATCCACCTAAAGTAGAACTTGCATCACCGCCTAGAGTATTTGAAGGTGCCAAGGTGGCTGTTCCACCCGACACACCTGTTCCACTACCACCAGCGCTAGAACCACCCGATCCACCTAAAGTAGAACTTGCATCAGCGCCTAGAGTATTTGAAGGTGTCAAGGTGGCTGTTCCACCCGACACACCTGTTCCACTACCACCAGCGCTAGAACCACCCGATCCACCTAAAGTAGAACTTGCATCAGCGCCTAGAGTATTTGAAGGTGTCAAGGTGGCTGTTCCACCCGACACACCTGTTCCACTACCACCAGCGCTAGAACCCCCTAACCCACCAACACTTGCGCTAGAACCACTTGATCCACCTAAAACAGTACTTGCATCACCCCCAAAGCCTGGAGTATTTGAGGGAACCACGGTGGCTGTTCCGCCTCGTCCACTTTCACCAGCACTAGACCCAGGCCCAATACTGACGTCAGAGCTTGGAGGTAGAGAGGAGGTAAGTGGGAGGTTAGAAAGAGTCACGGGTTGAGTCACGGGTTGAGTCACGGGGTGAGTCACGGGGTGAGTCACAGTGAGTAGAGTATTATTCATCAGAGGCGTTATCGTTGCAGTGGGTGACATAAGGTTGTGTTGAGTTAGGGAACTTGGTGTGCTGTGTGGGGACTGTGCGGGACTCATATGTGATATGCTGTATGTGCCACCATTCATCAAGGATTCAGATTGCTGTGTCAATGATATGTTGGAATTCATTTGCGAATCTAAACTAGGTGACTGATATATATTTGTTAAAGAACTAGCTAAAGTATTCCTACCAGATAGTTGGTCAGTCGAGGGTTGACCAGTACCAGTGACCACTGGATTGTGTATAGGTGATGTAGACAAGACATTTACGCTAGACACCGGAGGGGTTGCATCCACCCCAGATGTTACTGACAAGGATGAGGATGCACTTGAACCAAAGGAAGTCATTCGGTCGATGTTGGAAGACGTGGGTGATGAGGACAATCCGGTCCCGTCAACAATATGTCCGGTTGTCGATTCGCCTTGTGTCGATGGAAGAACAGTGGGCGTTCCTGTTGCCATGACTACTGTATTTGTAGTCGTGGTTCCCTCAGAAGAGTGAGCCCCTCCTCCCAGGGGATTCCCCAGACGTCCCGACACAGCACCTGGAGACAGGGAAGATGTAGTGTACGGCAGTTAGCAGTCATCATGTGCTGTATCTGACAATATGGTTTCGGTAAACTTTGCTTGTTTTTTTTCAGAGCCGCACTCAGCAATGGTCCAGCTATATGACGGTGGCCTGTGAATAATCGAGTCAGGACCAGACAATCCAGTGATTGACATGAGCATCGATCTATGGAATCAACCAGGTCAGCGAGCCTGACCAAACGATTGTGGGCTTCAAGCCACTGACGTTTGTATCTTAAACAGATAACCAAAATGGTCTGGGTGCAATGATATGTCTCGTAAAGTAACAAAATGACAATTCCCCATTTAGTACTATATATAAAGCGTGGAAAAATCTATATTGAATAATAAATATATATCTTACCCTAAATCCCTAAAACTTCGTCAAAGGATTTGTTTGGTTTGTTTGTTGTTTAACACCGCACTAAGCAATATTTGAGCTGCATGGACCAGACAATCCAGTGATTGACATCGTGAGCATCGATCAAAGCAATCGGGATACGATGACATCTATCAACTAAATCAGCCAGCCTGACCACCTCATCCCGTTAGTCGCATTTTACGGCAAGCATGGGTTACTGAAGACCTATTCTACCCCGGATCTTCACGGGTGTCGTTGAAGGATATTTTGAAAATGATTTTCTTTATTAAGAACGCCAACAGATGTTCCTCTTACCGTTGGGCTGGCCGATGATGGTCCACAGAGTAGCGACAGTGATGATCACTATCACCCCCAGCAGCAGCAGCAGCAGCAGCACAAGGAAGATTGTGTTCCGTCGTCGTGTGCTCCTCTTGTCCTTGTACGACTGTAAGGAGTCGTCGCTGTTGCAGTTGAAGTAGGGCTCCAGCCCTTCCTTGTAGGGGTCGCTGAGGCTGATGTCGCGGCTGCTGAGGGCCTTGCCGTCGAGGTTGGAGGACGTGAAGAACCCACTCTGGTTGGGCTGGCCGGCATAGCGTACCGCCGGCTGGAACACGGACGTAAGTCAAAGTGTGCTTGTTGATCATTTGTTGTTTGTTTGTTCTTTAACGCTGCGATAACCCATCTATATGACGACGGTCTGTAAATATTCCAGTCTGGACCAGATAATCTTGAGACTGATATTATGAGTCGGGACATAACGTCGGGCAATCAACTACGTCACCGAGTCTATGAAGTCGCTTCTCACGACCAGCAGCGCTTACAGCATACGTGCGTGTTGGCAAAGACACACAAGATCAACGGCTTAATGTTCAAGATAAAAAACACAGGTCTGGAATAAGAAATTAATTAAATCTTTAGTAACGCATTTTCGTCAAATTCTCTACCTGTATGTTGATACTCCTTCTCCCACCCCTGTGTCAAAGTCCCTTTCTCTCCTCACCACCCAAAAGTCCCCCACTCCCCAACACACACGCGCCACCTCCTCTCCTATCTCCCATTCCTTATTTCAGTAACGCTATGTTCATGGTCAATGTGTTTCGTCTATTCGTCCCGTATTCTTGTCTTACCGTCTACTGGCCAAACCTCTACGTAAATTAGTTCATGGGTTCTTCAAGTAGAGGAGGGCATTCCGTTTATAAGTTGTAAATTTAAACAACGTGCAAATAATGCTGCTAATGATGACAATACTAATTATGATGATGATGATGACGACGACGACGACGATGATGATGATGATGATGATGTATTTATATAACGCCTAAATCCAACACTTACTTGTTATATATGTTTATCTTTAAAAAAATATGCACACGAAGTCAAACAGTTATATAAAATATATAGAATTTAAATTTTTAGTAGGTCCGACCGTATGTTGCTTGTAGATCGCCGTTCACTCTGAAGGAGGTTATCAACGAGTTAGCAGCCATGTATTTGGGTTAAAAAAATATGTAAAATTGAAACATCATTGTGGTATCATATCCATCTGGGAGCGTCGCAATTGTGGAAACATTGTGTGTGCAGAAATCTATGATTGTGGGTTCGAATCCCGCTCGCTCCAATTATGTTTCTAGGTTTGTCGGCACCATTCCCGTGCTCGTTGGTTTCACCAAAGTAGTAAACGTTTGAGACCTGCATCACTTCGGGCTTTCCTCTCACATTAAACTGACACGCCGTGAAATACTATTAAAGCAACGTGGAGCCAACTCACTCAACTCATAGTCATCTAAAACACTACTCAGAAACGTGAATCCTCCGCTAGATAGCAGCGGGCATTAGTGGCTAAACGAGTCATGGGTCCGCTCGGCTTGCGACTGTGAAGTTGAAGTCCAGTGTCCCACTGCCTGTCTGATAGTACAGCACTACCTCCCTGTGGAGGGCCTCCTGCTATTCAATACCAATGATCATGATCATACTTAGATACATTCGACCGCCTCCGTGGTCTAGTGGTAGAGCGTCCGCCCGGAGAGCGGAAGGTCGGGGGTTCGATCCCCGGCCGCGTCATACCAAAAGACGTTAAAAGATGGTACTTGTTGTTACCCTGTCTGGCGCTCGGCATTAAGGGGCTAAAACAAGGACTGGTCGGCTCGGAGTCGGTATACTGTGTCTGAGTGGGGTATTCATGTTAAACTGCGGAATGGTATCTCAGTGAGCTAGCGCTATAAATCGGCATCAGTCCGGACTAGTACAAGCAGCCACACAAACACACACACGTACATGCACGTCGCTATATAAGTGCAATAATCTTGGACGTGACGTTAAATCCCATTTCACCTCACCTCACCTTAGATACATTCTTTGTTGATGACAGTTTTATCCCTGTTCGTGCTGCAAAGTTAGTATCTATTGTGTCATCATCACACCAACTTACGTCAGGATAGTTGAACAATTACGTGTTATATGTTTAGGCGTAAGATAACCATATACCAGGCAATGCTAGAACTGACCGCTGTGAACATACATATACCTTTAACCGTGCCAATAACCTTGATGGAGTAACTTCGTAAATACCAGTGGTCATGACATTAACAACTGAAACTCATACATTTCGACAGATTGCCAATATTATGTGATACTGTAAATGATATTATATATTATACTGTGCTTATCATACATAGCAATGTTTACCTCAAAATCCATCCAGGGGGCACGGGTGGCCCAGTCGTCTAAGGCGCCGCGATTCGTTGTGCAGAGTTGCGTCCCTTGGGCACGCCAGAAACCTATGATTGTGGGTTCGAATCCCGGTTCGCCCCGATTATGTTTCGAGGTTTGTCAGCACCATACCCGTGCTCGTGGGTTTTACCGAAGTGGTAAACGTCTGAGACCTGCATCACTTCGGGCTTTCCTCCCACATTAAGCTGACATGCCGTGATATAACTGGAATACTGTTAAAAGCGGCGTAAAACCCAACTCAAAAATTAATCCATCCCTTCTCCAAACTCAATCATAACAATTATTGACAATAATGTCACGTTACCTATGAAAACACCTCTTTACCTCTTTCCCATTGCCATGCAGTCGATTCAGCTCAACGATTACCATATTTATTTATTTTCTTTAAAACCTCTAACCAGTTCGTTGACAAACCTGGACTTTGTAAAGAAAACTACAACTACTGGTTCATACAGTGCAGCGTTTGAATCTGAAATCTACAAACGGAACGTCTGATAGTGAAGGGCCAATCCCATCCACCGACTCTTTACGTACAGTACAATGCGATCTTTTCCTCACTTTGAGACCTTCTGATGTGCTAGACATTGCCAGCCGCATATCACTCTGCATTGGATTCAGACATCGTGAGAATTATTTGAATATTGAGTAAACTTTAACTGTGTATATAAATATTTTAAAAAGTCTACCGGCAATGACTAAAAATAAGTACTGAATAAATGAGACTCATCACTGGAACAGTTCATTGTCATTGTAATATTTCATGCTGCTACAACAGAGCGGAGGGGGTGTATTCTGATTATTCTATTAAGCAGGATGGGTTTTCTGTTCCGATTGTGAAATTGCTCGCTGGGACATCGCTCAATCACAAATCATTGTGACATCTGTCAGTAATACCCTGTCATGGTCGTGAGTTGATTTAATTTGGAGGCGCAAGAGGATACAGACGAAGTGAGATTGATTAGGAATTAAATGTCCGTCAGTGTTATTGCAATACGATGTGAGAATTATTTGAATATTGAGTAACGCAACTTTAATTGAACGTATGCATATTTTAAAAAGTCCACCGCCAATGACTAAAAAATAAGTACTTTTCTATAAACATTCGCTTTCGCGGTTAAATCGGCTGTTTCAAAAAGGTGTTTATTCTGATTTGATTAACTCAGGGACGAATAACATACCAGCTTTGAATTCTCACAGTGGAGTGTTATATACACCTGAAGAATACCTGTTCACACGTGATGACGCTCTTC